CGAATGCCAAGCACTTTAAATCTGAAAGAGCTTTCTTCGGTAAAAGGCTGTCAGTCATTGCCTGCCCTGTTTTTTTTTTTTTTTTTTTTTTTTTTTTGGTTTTTACAAGACAGGGTTTCTCTGTATTGTTTCGGAGGCTATCGGTCCAGCCCAGCCTCGAACTCACAGAGATCCGCCTGCCTCTGCCTCCCGAGTGCTGGGATTAAAGGCGTGCGCCACCAACGCCCGGCTGCCTGTCCTGTTTTGTGCTTATGTTTTATGAGGCTGTGGGGAGCTAAAGTGGCTCTATGGGCAAACCCAGAAATCAGCTCTCAAATGAGATATTAATGGTAATAGCAACAGTGCATTTAGTATTCATTGTATAACTGAGTAATTTCATTTGAAAGCAGCCCTGTAAGCAATACATGTGTGGTAGGAGAAAACCAGAAACTCAGAGGGAAGGAAGTACTCGCCCCAAGTTGTGAAAAGAGAGTTTCAGACGGGATTCCCACGCCATGCAGTGCGCACCTCAATAAGCGAGGGCTACTGAGAATTTAGGGAGGGACCTGTAAAAAAGAGGTCCGCATCAGAACAGAAGCGGAATCGAGCCCCTCGGTGGGACTTGTGTCTGTGTCTCTAAAAAAAAAAGTAAATACTCAAGTGTTGCTGCCTTTGTGTTAAATAGGAAACGAGATTATTTAGACAGAGATGAGGGAGAAGCTAACAGTTGTAATGGAGATAGGAAGGCTGTAAAGTCCCAAACCAGGAAGAGAATCGGCACTCATGAAAAAGGGCACAGGAGAAAGGGAGTGTATGTGTAAGGGGGTAGGGATGGGGAGAGACAGAGGATTTTGAGGGCCCTTGAGGAATGGACCACGTTTGTTTGGGCCCATCCATGGCAAGCCTTTTTAATACAAGGTGAGAGGGGGGTAAGAACATTCTGGCACTATGCAATGTGCTTCCGAAGAAGGATGGGGGAATAAGACTGGGAGTCCACAGAGCAGTGGGGTCCTTCTAGAGTTCAGGAACTAATTAACGCACGCACGCACCCACGCACCCACGCGCGCGCGTTCGCAAATCAAAAACACAAATGTTTGTTTTGGCGCTCGAGACTAAGTATAACAGATTAAAAACAAGACTTTCTGGAACAAGACAAATGGCTCAGTTGGTAAACCGCTTGCTGCAAGAGCGAGCGTTACCTGAGTTTGATCCCAGGGCACCCGCACGGAAAGCTGGGCACAGCGGTGCATGCCAGTAACCCACTGTGATGGCTGTGACAGAGGACTCCCTGGGGCTCACTTGCTAGCCAGTCTAGCCTAGTTAGCGAGTTCGTCCCATGCTCAATGAGAAACTGGCTTAATAGGGTGGAAGGCAACTGGCGAAGCACCTCCTGTTACCCTCTAGGCTCTATGCGCGCGTGCGCGCATGTGCGCGCGTGCACACACACACACACACACACACACGCACGCACGCACGCACGCACGCACGCACGCACACACACACCCGACTGCCCAATGCTTCAAACCACTTCCAGTTTGCTTCCTAATTCTCAAATGGCCCACTGGTTCCCTCCCTTTTGTCAGTCAACCCCGAGAGGAAATCCAGTCTCCTGAATCAAATCCACCATCTTGGCCAAAGATTCCTTTTTATATTCCTCCTCGAAATTTATAGTCGTCTCCCCGCTCCCCCCCCCCCCAGCAAGTTCTCTCTAGCACCTTAAGGCCCTACTGGGCAAAGCTGATAAATTACTCGGGAGACCACCCCTTGCCCCTTGCTGACCCCCGTTTCTAACCCGTTGCACAATCTGGCTCGGCACCATCACGGCACCTGCCTATTAACGAGCCACGCATGCGAGCACCAGCCCCGCCCCGGGGGGGGGGGCTCTCTCAAACATCCTAGCCACCCGTCTTCAGTCTGTTCAGTCTCTCTACCTCCGGGCAAGTCACCTTTAACCTACACGGCAAACTCCGAGGGCCGCTTGCTGAATGAAACCTCAGTGGAAAGCACAGAAATGCCATTAATCGGCTGTGTGACGTTCAGCAAGTCACTTTTCATTTCCAGCTCTACTCAGTTTGTCCACCGACAACCGAGGGTGTTAAAACTACAAAGGTCTTCAGAAGTTTGTTTTTTTTCTTCCCCCTGCACCGACAGTGAACAGTCTCACTCCCATCACAAGCTGATCTCAAGAAAACACCCCTGGAGAGCTAGCTGGATGGGTCCCATCTTTTTATTTTCCTTTTCTCCTAGGACTGCTTACTCCCATGGGTGGCCTGAAGGTTTCCCGGTGACCCTGCTCTACCACAGCTAATGGGGCTGTTGATCTTGGCTACCTTCCCTGAACAGTCCGAACTTTCTCCTTGGTGTTTGGGAGCCCCTCGGCCTGCAAGCAGATTTAGAATTTCCATATTTGTGCACACACAGACTGGCTCCTGCTCCCCACGCCCCCCCGAGTTTCCATTTGCATTGTTCAGGGATAGTTGCCTCTGAAACACTCAGGTAAAGTGCCAGGAAAATCTGCTCATTGGTGCTTCAGCTTGTGGCCAGACTAGGCCCAACCGCTGTTGCAAGTTTTGCCCTCAGGCACATGACTCATTAGCCAAGCAGCAGGGATCAGCAACCTCCTCCCTCACCAGTTGGGAAAAACAGCTTCTGGAGCTTTCCACCCCAAATCTCTGTTTACTGCCCACTGCCCACCCAGAATCGACATTCCCTGATCACCAGCTGTCCTTTCCTTTTGTGGCAATTGCAGACTGGGCGCTCTTACAAGGAACGAGGGAAATTTTTCACTCATAAATGTCATCTTTAAAACGGACAGGTTAGGAAAAAAAAAAATGGGCCAAAGGCTATTGACGCTAGAGAATGTTCTAAATCTAAGCTAGGAGTTCATTTGGATCCTGGGCTGAGTTCGGCCTGTCTCTCTAGCTCATTCGCTTGGGACCTTTGACCTTCCCACACACCTAGGTTCAGAGTGAGAAGATTACTTGAAACTGCTGGCTCCCGTCCTGCAGTCCTACAGCTCCTGAGTCATGTTTACAGCTTGTGTGGCTTTAGGGTCACTGGTCTGTGCTGGTGATAAAGCCAAGTCATCACCACGTAAGATATTGACAGAAAGGTCTCAAAGCCAAGTCCAAACGCGCACAAATGTTTCAGTGGTGTCACAGGGGAGGTGATTATCAAGGAGGAACTACCACACGAAAACAGTGGATTTCTACAAGATCTCCCAGACAATTCACGATGGAAATACCACTAAATACTTAGTTACATAATGAAATACATAAGAAGGGAAAGACCACTAAAAACAAAACAGACTATGTGACTACCTCAAGAGAATACAAGTTACAATCAAGTTTACTCCTGGGGGACACGCATGTGTCACAGGAAGGAAGTCAGTACATGCAACTTATTTAGACTTCCGAAGGCTTTTAAATATCTATCACAAAGGCTAATCTAAAAAGTGGACCATGGGTGGAGCTGAGTAGCAGAATGATTGCCCATCGACCAATGCTCTAGACTTGATCCTCGGAACTGAAAAAGGGGGGGAAAACAATCCCCACTGCTGACGTTACCAAGTCATCCTAAATAACTAAGGCAGTAAGCAATACGAAATAAAAATCTTAAGCTCATAGTTAACCTTCAGTGAAAGTGGGTGGCAAACGTAAAACTTTTAACGAGCAGCTTAGTATACAACAAGAGTCAGTGAAAACTGACCCAATTCGGTACACATTTACTTGATCCCAAGCTCCTAGGCCCATTACAGTTCAGATCTGTGAGCAGGCCTATGGAAGACGATGTCTCTCAAGCATCGCTTAACTTAGAAAAGCAATAGAGAGCCGAGTGTCACTGACGTTTCAAATGTGGTTGTTTCACACTTCCTCGTAAGCAACTGCTGGGTTTCTAAGCCACTGACATCAGCAAACTCTGATGTAAATTCTTGAAATCTGGAGGTGACAATCACTGGGAGGGTCTGTATATACACCATTTCCTCAAATTCAAAGTCTGCAGAAAGTGTAGTAATTCACCCAAAGAAAGATTACTCACATCCAGTTCTTCTTTCTTTTTTTAACCAAAGATTTAAGTTAAGGACCATCTGGTATGTAAAAGCCAAATGTCTTTTGGTTTTCCAAGATTAGATGGGAATAATCCAATCTATGTATCTATCTATCTATCCATCTATCTATCTATCTATCTATCTATCTATACACACACACATATGTATATGTATATATATATATCTCATAACTAAAGAACTGTATTAAGAACTTAAAATAGGCAGCTGGGTGGTGCTGGCACATTCCTTTAATTCCAGCAAACAGAGGCAGAGACAGATGGATTTCTGAGTTCGAGGCCAGCCTGGTCTACCGAGCTAGTTCTAGGACAGCTAGGGCTGTTGTTACACAAAGAAACCCAGTGGGGGTGGGGGAGGGGAAGATGGCAGAAAGGATATTATGTATTGTCATATGAGGGTGCTAACCAAGAAAAATAATGATGGTGACATTCTTCAACCGAGAAGGCAATGTTAAGGGAGACAGACAGTGATCTACTCGGACAGGGCTTTGCAGCAGGTTGACTGGGTGCCGCATCTTATGCTTAAGGGTTTGGAGCGATTGACTCCAGGCAGCGTGATAACTGGATCCTGGAACTCTTTCCACTGACTTCCACGAAGAGGAAGGAACACCTAGGCTGACAGCTAACTTCATAGTGAGTCAAATCACAACGGAGAGCCACAAACTGTCTGAAGAGCATTTTCCAAATCCACCCAAATTAGCCTCTTTGTGCCTGTGGCTACGGTAAGATATTTGACCAGGCTCTCACCACCCACCAGCGCCTTCTAATACCTTCTACGAGCTCTGAGGCAACAACAAGCAGAGCCGCCCGCTGCACAAGCCTCCTAGGCTTTTTCAAAAGAAGCCAGTAGCTGATACTGTCTCTGCAGCAGTTTGGTCTTTCATGACACATCGGATAGGCTGGAGTTCTCAAGAAATTCTGCGCTGTGAATCTTGCCCAGTGAGTGCTGAGTGGTCTGGAAAGAAAACACTCAGAGAAGTGCCACGTTTATTAGAGTGAGAGAATGCCACCCTCACATTGCCACCAGGAAACAAAGACCTCAGGGGCGCAGGCACTGAGGAGATCTCCAGATCGGAAGACACCCTAGAGGTCAGCAGGCTCACCTGCCGCCTGACGTGCTAATCCCCACTGAAGCCCGCTCTCCAGTGGGGCCGAGGTCCGTCCACCTGGGGACCTCACGTCCACGGACCTTGCACCCAGCCAGCTCTGAATCTCTGCACTGGGGCAGCGGAAGACGTGCAGGCACCATCGGGTAGCACGCGCGTGGACGCAGGCCCAACAGCAGTCCCTTTTCCTACGAAGAAAGGATCCCGGAATCCAGTGTGAAGTCACTTAATATCCCCTACCGTGCACACAACGCGGTGAAGTATAGAGCGGGGGGGGGCTGAGCTAGTCCGGTGGGCTTCCAGGAGGCCACATTCCTTGGCTCACAGGAGGCCGCCTCTGCAGCAGGTTTCTGGGGCCGGGCGTTTCCAGGAATGTCTGTTGGTGAGCTCAGGAGATCCTTCAGCATGAACAGTTAGACTTGCTGTTCTACCAGCTGCAGTTTGGCAGTCTTGACTCGATGGGCCTCCTTAAGGTTCTGCGCGCGGACCTCTGGGTTTGAAATGAACTCCACTTGCTGGACGGGGAACCAGCCCTGCTCTCCATCTGAGAGTCTCACACCCTCCAGCCAGCCTGCAGCACACGGCCCAGAGGAAAGAAGAATTAGCTGCTAAGGGCTCCTGCTAGCATCTTGGGCCTCCCTGCTGACAATCAATCTATATCCCAAGGTTGAATGAGCTAGGTCCCTCCAGCACGAAAAACCAGCCTTGCAGGGTAGGGCATGGCTGCCTTAGGTCGGCTGACGTTTACAGCCCAACATTCTGGAACCTTCTTGGCTGCTATCAGTTAAAATTTGTCTATCAAAGTATTTATTTATTCATAACCTAATCCCCGGTATCTCAAAATTTTCTCTTACTTGGGAATGAAAGTGCTGCAAATACAATTAATAAATTTATATCAATCAGCCGGGAGTTGGTGGCGCACGCCTTTAATCCCAGCACTCGGGAGGCAGAGGCAGGCGGATCTCTCTGTGAGTTCGAGGCCAGCCTGGTCTACAAGAGCGCGTTCCAGGACAGCCTCCAAAGCCACAGGGAAACCCTGTCTCGAAAAACCAAATAATAATAATAATAATAATAATAATAATAATAATAATAATAGTTATATCAAGGCCACCCTGGAGTCAGTCAACCAGTCAGAATCAGCCTCCATACAGAAAGGGTGATTTACATGCACCCAGAGAGAAGAGACCCCAACGATACGTGTGTGCGGAGATTGGAGTTACGCAGCCACAAGCCACTCTGGAGCTGCCAGACTGGGACAACGTAAGGAAGGACTGTTCTCAAAAGCTCCAGGGGAGCCTGCTGACACCTTGATCAGGGACTGCTCACCACCAAGGAAGGCGAGAGAGTAAGTGACCCTTGTTGTCAGTGGCTGTGGGTGCTTTGTCGTGGCAGCCCCAGGAAGCCGCTGCACCTCTCCTCTGCTGCCTCCGCTGCCTCCGCTGCCCACCTCCGGCTCTTAACCGCTACCTCCTCCGCTGCCCTCCTCCTGCTCTTACCGTCGCTGCTCTGCTGAGTCACCATCACCACATCCGCCTTCTCCAGCGCCAGCTCATCGTTCTCTCGGGGCTTGTAGGCTCGGAGGCACTGAACCTGTGGGGAATCTTTGAAAGAGGAGAGTGAAGAGACGTTAGGAGCAGCGACGAAGGACCATGGACAGGAGCTGTGGGGGAAATGTGGAAGGACCTGAGGTTCAGAAGGTCAAGTGTGGAACTATAGACAAACGAAGCCACTGGCCCACACCTTCAATCCCACCACTCAAGGAGGCAGAGGCAGGCGGATCTCTACGAGTTTGAGTATAGCCTGGTCTACATAGCAAGTCTAGGTCAGCCAGGGCTACAGAGTGAGAACCTGTCTTCAAACAAACAAACACAAACAAAAAGCCAGGGGAGGGGAGATGACCAAAAAAAAAAAAAAAAAACCAAACTCAATACAAACAAAAGAGGCAGTTAGAAACATATTCATCATCTACCAGGGATCAAACAAGCCAATAAAGAAATATAGATATTAGTATGGGATCTAATTTTTAAAAATTCTACCTCTCTGGAGAAGATGACTAGAAAATACCTTGTGACCACATTTAGTTACTCATTGTGACAAGCACTTGAGGTTCGGGTGAAGACCCAGCTGCCCTTTTGACCTTCAACAGCGTTTGAACTCCTTAGAACTGACTGTTGGAGAGGAACCATGTATCCCTTATGGCAGAGAGGAAGCATCTCTCCTACAGGTTGGAGGCATTATCGTGACAGACGTGGCTTTACGGCTGTGAAAGTTAATGGTTTACTAAAATTTGACGATACATTCCATAAGTCTTACCTAATTGGTCACAAGGACATCAGGGCAGACATAGTGGTTGATAATAAAGGCTATTATTGTGATCAAAGATGGCACAAGTTAATTTTGGCTCTCAATCTGTGACATTGCATCTTCACAATCACAAATTTCAAGTCAAACGGTCAGTAGGATCTTCAGCACAGAACTCAGAACTTAAAGTTGACAGCTTTCCAACAAGATTCAAAATTGAAGTCTGTGAATCCTGCATCATTTTCTTCATTGTGCCAGTAATGGGACCCCCCCCTTTAAAAACAGCCTCAAACACTAGACTTTCTTAGTACCCTTGTTTCCTCTTGCCTTAGTTTCCTCATGTGTAATTGATCAAGATTTGTTTGTTTGGTTGTTTTTCGTGGCAGCGTTTCTCTGTGTAGTTTTGACTCTCCTGGAACTCACTTTGTTGACCAGGCTGGCCTCAAAATCACAGCGATCTGCCTGCCTCTGCCTCCCAAGTGCTGGGACTAAAGACATCCACAACCACCACCCAGTGACCAAGATGACCATTGATCAAAATGATTCATGAGGAAACGCTAGACGTTTGCTTATGAGCCAGGCAGCATTTCCACCAACTGCAATTAAGTACAAGAGAACACAGTTCACAGTACGCCTGCCCTAGAAGCAATCTTAGATGGGTTTGTCTTTATACTTTACTTTGCTGTACTGATTTTGCAGAAAATAAATGGGATGCTACGTTATTAATAGCGCACCGTTCTAAAGCTCAGCATCGTCTCCCGTCCACAGGAAATGCTGCCCTCTTTACCTACCATAAATGAAGCTAACCAGTGGACTGCACAGCTAGCAAACAGCACTGAGTTCAGTTGGGCTCTCCTAGATCCTATTCCAAGGTTCATTACACTCACCCACAAAAGGCCCAGTGTTCCTTTGACATGCTGTGGGCTCTAGCTGCCCTGTGTGCTTGAGATAAACAGCCCCAGCTGCCTGGCTGAAGCGACATCAGAACTGTGTTGGCCTTTTCTTGTCATCTGCATTTCAGCTACACTGTTTCCCTCTTACATCTTCAACTGGTAAAACTAAGTCAAAATCACAGCAGATAAGACTTAAAGGAGTATATATTTTACAAAGAACAAACATTTGCCTAAGTGAATGCATAAGGAAAGGTACTGTCACAGGGATTGACAGTTTTTAAGAAGATACATCACAAGAATTGAAGCCTCGACTACCAGCAGTCCACCGTGAAATTCTGAGGGAAAGCAACACACAGAAGCACCCCGGCACGCTCAAACTTTCACCCAGAGGAGACCACAGACTGACACTGCCATTTGTTACACCCTTACTCACCATAGCATTCAAGCAAGTCCAGCTCCTCTCTGGGCATGGCCAAGGCTGAGATCCACCGGAGCTTTTCACTTCTGAAAAAGCCAAAACAAGACAGTCTTAACCTTCAGTGACAGACTGGGGACATAGGCTGAGGGCCAGTGGTGGGGGAGGCAGTGGCTACCAGGACTTGTCTAATCCACTGACTCCTAAAGCCAATGGGATCCTGCCCGGTTGGAAACCCAGTATGATCTTGCACTGTGTGTTAGTGTACCCTGCTTATCCTTCCTTTCTCTCTTTAAGTCTATCTTCCACAAAGACTCATAAGGTGTGAACTGTCCACCATTTATGCATGAACACTTTTCCGTTTAGGCGTGGCCACTCTGCACGATGGTTGGTCCTCACTTACCTCCCTTCAACTAAATGTCTAAGATGAAAATAACTGCCCAATAAGTGAGCCAAGGAGCCATACCCATTCCATTGCTCTTGCTGCCGTTGCGGTATAATGTGATCTTAGCCTAATTTGTGATCATCTGAAGGTTTTTAAAAATATTATCTTATCCTCTGCTTCCAAACGTACCTAGGCTATTCAGAATGACACTTTTACTTTTCCCAAAAGATGCTGCCCAAAGCTCTAAAAAAAAGAACACAAAGCTACACCCGATGAGTTGCCTCAGGTGAAATCCCAAGTACGAACCCAAGTACTATCTTCTCTCTTCCACGAATGGAGACAGGGACCATTGATCCCAGTAGAAATGCCTTGTAAGGGACCAAGCTCCACATCAGGTGGAGTCTACCATGAAAGTGTTTAACAATTTTATAGACACGTTTTTCCTGTGTCTCATATAGCACCAGGGAAGTCACCGGGTGTCCTTTAGTTTGCCATATTGTGTCCACATTCTAGAGTTATCGTCTTAACTCTCAAAAACGATATATAGATGTGATGGTATTCATTTGTTATGCTCACCGGGAAGGTTACAACTCATACTTCTTTTTTTTTTTTTTTTTAGTTTTTACGAGACAGGGTTTCTCTGTATTGTTTTGGAGGCTATCGGTCCAGCCTGGCCTCAAACTCACAGAGATCCACCTGCCTCTGCCTCCAGAGTGCTGGGATTAAAGGCATGCGCCACCACTGCCCAGCCAACTCATACTTCTTAATACTACAGTTTTTTGCTCAATGGAGGATAAAGCTGGGAGACTGAGGAAAAGCAGAAAGCATACATGGCGGCTTGTTTTTTATTCAAATAAGTGCCTGACAGCCTAGGCTCTGAACTGCACAGATGAGCTGGGTCTCTCATAGACACAGCAATCCGGCTCTCTGCTCATTCCATGCCAACTCATCTCTCTCGGGACGTCTCACAGGCCTGGTGACTTTTAACTACAGACTGTACAGCAGATGTTAAGAAGGTTCATCCCACACTGAATCTCCTTCAAGTTGTTGCCTGGCTCTAGGGCCTTGGGTCTCTATCAACGAACCCTACTCCGGAAGTGCCAAGGCCATGGGTCTGGGTGTGTTTCTGTCCAGGGACGCCCACCCCCAGCTCCTGTGCCCAGCCCCGTCTCACTGAGTGTCAGTGCGGAAGAGGAATTCAGCTTGTGTGCCCTGGGTGTTCTGCAGCAGGAACAGACGGAAGAGATTCTTGTGAGGCCCATGCAGCTTCATTTCACATTTCTCTCCACGGACGGAGGAGAATGGAGCATGGTCAAACACCAGGAACCGGCTGCCCCTGCAGGATACGTCTTTTAAGGCTCATTCTGTAGTTTTTGTACTTTGTCTGCCCTCGCACTCATAGTCTTAGAATCAAACCTACAGACTCTTCATATAAAACCCATACAAGGGCTCAACCTGCTCTCAATACAACAACCCCAGTCTCAACCAACCGTTTACCGAAACAGTGCTATCCACTACTTTAAAGAGTTGAAGACATAAGAACCAGTGTTAGCTTTCTAATGTCCTAATGACCAGAGTTTAAGCTCTGAAACTAGACAAGTGGCCGGATTGGCTAATATGCTGGGCATGACCCAGGGAAGCTACAGGTAAACTTATTTAAGAAGATGGTGTTTCTTTGCGGTGGTTTACTCATGTCTATAACATGGGACAGGTCTATGATTTCATGATGTAATTTGGTAGCATTAACCCTCCCGGCTCCTCTAAGCTATGACTCATGAGTCAGACTGGGAACGGTCTAACTGAGAAGGGATCTGTTAGAAGCCGGTCATCTGGTGTCCCGCTAGCCCTATCCCATTCTATCATGCGCCCTGGCCTCCCATCCCAGCCACTGACTCTCGGGGTCGGGACAGCAACAGACAGTCATTGAAGAGATGCAGGTGGACTGGGCGAGTGGTCAGTTTCCTCCTCAGGCCCGGGGAGGCGCTGAACTCAAGGGCCATCAGCTCCCCACTCTTCACCAGCCATCGAGATTGGGAAATGAGCGGGAAAATCTAAGATCAAAGGGAAAAAAAAGGAGAGAGAGAGAAAAGGCAGGTCGTGAGCTTCCTCTCGGTCCAGCCCAACCTATGGAATACCAATTCCAGATCTTCCCCCTTGCTCTTAACCAAACCAGATCCTGCGTCTCTTGGAACCCTCTAACTACACTGCACTAGTGTGTGAATCCCGAGTTTCCATGGCCAAAGGAAGGTGACTCTAACAAGTGATGGTCCAGGAGCAGAAGTCTGGGAGCCCAAGGAGAACTCGTTAACGAGCAGGAGGGTACAACACCACATCTTATAAGCGAAAGGATCGGGCAGGTTCGCTATCTGCTCCTTTCCCTGATGATGGTCAGAGCCAAGACGAGCAGACAGAATGAGGCGTGGAGCTAAGGATAAGATCCAGGTGGGGTCTGCTGGGAACTGGGGCCTGGGCAGAAACTCCCAGCAGAACTTAGAGAAGGACTTCTTCCCTGCTGGGGAAGTAAAGGTGGTATCTGTAACACACCAGACTTTCAGTGTTGAAGATCAAATTCTCTATTTGTTTGGACAAGAGACTTGGAGTTTTCTTGGCATGCTGCTTTTGGTTAGGTTAAAGGTGATCTGATAAAATGAGTGAGTCAGGCACTTCACCCCTAAATTCTTACACAGCCTTACGCTGGGAAATTCCTTCTGCCCGTTTAGTGAGTGCTCCTCCGGGAACTATTGCCCCCCCTTCTGATTATCCTGACAGTTTCCTTATGCACAGGCACCTCTGCTTTTACACCAAAGGCAATAAAACCCACACATAGTTCTACGCCTCCACCTAACAGCACGGGTTGTAAACCGAAGTGATCATTTGCGCATCCCAGAAATGGAGAGGGGCAGGCAGAACCGGGGGGCTAGGGCTGACGTAAGCAAGGCGACTGGGTGGGAGGAAGGCCTATCGGACGCGCTAAAGGGATTCGTAGGCAGGGAGGTGCGCCAGGGACAGCTCACTTTGCACTCAAACTCAATCTTCTGGCTCAGGTAGATGAGCTCCTCCGTCCTCCGCATCCTCTGTACGTTGCTGTTGCAGTCTCGGATCAGCTGATAATGGAGCAGGGGAAGGGAGGGGAAGATTGCTGTGTTAGGGTCCTGAGTTTGAATCCCCCCTAAAGCCATCTGGGACGATGCCTGCAGACCTCGGTCTTTTCTACCAGGCTGGGGTTGGACGAGACAGCACCAAAGTCATGCTTTAGGTTGCTGGAATACTTTACAAGATTTGAGAGACTATATTGGGATGAGGGACTGTGGTGTTGGGAACAGAGCTGCCTGACACGGAGTGTGAGAGAAACAAGTTCAGTGCATACACGGAGATGGCCGGGCTGTCCCGTTAATCAGGACCTGTCTCGCACTTTCTTCAGGCATGGTACCAGGGGAAGGGGGAAGACTCGCCCCTGAATGAGCATTAAAATAGGTTGTTGGATGTGATGGCTGCCTACCTTCTCCAGGGCGTGGTGTGCCTTTGTGGCCTCTGCCTCTTCCGAGGAGCCAGGCTGGGTTCGCTTCAGAATGTTCTGTAGAACAAATAGTGGGCAAGAGCCAGATGGGAGGAAGGATGGATAAACAGGAAGAGATAAGTGTGTGTGTGTGTGTGTGGGGGGGTATTTAATGCAGAAGCCAGGGGCACAGTTCCAAAAGCAAAGATTTCTGAGAAAGAAAGATGTGGGCAGTTAGGGAAACCCCTCACATCCTCCACATGGTGTGGAGGCTTCGCACAAGAATGAATGATCTTTGCCTACAAGCTTTCCAAGATCATGTCCTCTTTGAGTCAAGGAGACCGGACTGAAAAAGTATCTGCTGTACCTGGAGCAGCAACTTCAGACGGGTGATACGCTGGAAGGGCAGTATCAGAAAGGACTTGAGAGACAGGCGTTGGCAGATGGGGTCGCTCTCTAGCTTCTCCAAGACCTCTCGGAAGCTGCTGTTGCTACTCCTAGATGAACAGCAAGACCCAGGTGAGGAGGGGGGTGAGGGGTAAAGGGGGCTTACGGAAGGCACGGGGAATGGAGGTTCAGTGTAGGATCTGGGATTGGGAAGAACGATAAGACCCTACGTGCAGGGCCCAGATATGACTGCAGAGAGGACCTGCTCAGGAGTGGGCTGAGACTTTCAGCTGACGTGGTAGACAAAAGAACAAGTACTCTGGGGGGGAGAGCACTCTGGGCTAGGGACTGAGTCAAGGTCACAGCTAAGTCCACTAAGGAGATGGATAGGGGCCATTCTCACATTAGGCTTTGGAAGGTGCGTTCCTGGTAGGTCTGGTTGGTGACGTAAGGCAGGTAGACTCGGCGGAAGTCTGGGGCATGATTCAAAACAACATCACACACTTGGAAGGAGAAGATGTTGTTCTCGAAGTTTTCTTCTAGGTCGGAAAGGAACCTGCACAGTATTTAAGCAGTCTCATGAGGCCTCAGCTAAGCATGTTTCAGTCCTGTACATTCTGAACGTGCAACTTCTGCTTCCTTGAATCACCAACTTCTGACTCTCCTTAGCTATGCCCTTGCTATGCAGTTCATCTTCCCCAGGGCTGTTACTAGTTTATTCTTGATTAATTTAAACAGAATTCTAGCATTCTGTTTCTTTTTCTTCTCTTCTGGTATCCAATCTTCCAGTGATTTTTTTTAATACCTGTGTCCACTGCAGTGCATGCCCAGAATGTATGCAAAACCTCAATCCAGAAAGCACTTCTCACTCAACAGTTAGTAGACCTGTGAACCCTCACACCCTCTCTTCTTCTTAGTTTTTCCTATCCCCCCCCCCCCTTTCCTTGGAGGGAACCCAGGCCCACTATTATCCAGACTCTGACAAAGAGAAGGTTTCTAAGAGAGGGAAAAGAAGCTGAAGATTCAATAGCTGAAAACGGTGAGGCTGGGAGAACGGAGATTGGAAGAAGTCTCACATGGAGCTGACATCTCGCACGTCCTGGAGACGGGAGAAGAGCCACTGGTGATCCTGGGTGGACAGGGCGGCCCGGAGTTGGGCTGAATGCTGGAAGTGATCCACCGCTATGTTTAGACTGCGAAGGTAAGACGCCTCTGACACAATCAGCTCAAATTTGGCCTGGAGGGTTGGACAAGTGGGAGACAATGAATAGGTTTGTGAACTCTCCGGTAGACACCAGTGGTTGAACAACGTTTTAGGGGGGGAACATTGAATGAAGTACATCTTTTTATCACTCAAAGTCACAAAATTTAGCTTAGTCAGGGATATGGAGAGTATTTGAGTACATCAGAGTCAACCTACGAGCTGAACAATATGTGTGATCCTCTATGTGTTCAAGAAACGTAAATATATATTTGTAGACACATACAAATAACTCTATAATTTCACAGATATGTTAATTTACCAAACCACAGTATCAATTTTACCAACAAAATATACTGTGCTATGCCTCACAACAAGGTGGTTAGTACTTTAAATAAGTACAGTGAATTTTATTCTTAGAAAAGAAACAAGTAAGCTGAGCGTTCCTGGAATTTTTACTAAACAAACAAGAAAAGAAAAGAGAAATAAAGGCAGAGGAACAAATAGGAATGGGAATGAGGATTGAGGTCTGGTGGTTACGTAAACAACACAGCACAACATTAGCTTAAAGAGATATGAAAGGAAAGACATTCTGAGTACAGGGATTAACTTGCAAGTTTTTAATTTTTTGTTATTATTGTTGGTTTTAATGAGAGTGTCTTTTAGCAAACCGTGGAAGAGACTAGAAGAGGCAGGAGCAATGCTGGGAAACGGTAACACGTCTAGACGGGAGATGAAGGCCTGTCAGTCATAGGCATGGGGAGAAGTAGACTGATCTAAGCGTCAAGCAGGCAGGCTGGGGAGGCTTTGCCTATTTTCTACAATGGGGCATGTACGAGGAGCCAAAGCCAACGCCTTGCTTTCTCGTTGGGCTGTGGGTGGGATGACGGACTTGCTGACGAACCCACAGCGCTCTGAAGTAGGAAACGACTTGTCTGAGGAGAAGTGGAATTGGAAAGACAAAGGGTATGTGAGAGAAGGTTTCGTTTAAACTGGAAACCAAGCACTTAAGAATGTGTATGGAGGGGGCTGGAGAGATGGCTCAGAGGTTAAGAGCACTAGGCTGCTCTCCCAGAGGTCCTGAGTTTGATCCCCAGCACCCACATGGTGGCTCACAAGCATCTATAATGAGATCTGGTTCCCTCTTCTGGCAAGAACACTGTATACATAATAAATAAAATAAACATTAAAAAAAAAAGAATGTGTATGGAGGCTCCAGCAGGGGGCGCAATGACCCAGACATGACCAATGGATCCCTTTCACGCCTCAACATGGGGCTTCAGTATGACCACTTGGACAGAAGAGAAAGATAGACATCCCTTGCTGATGACTGAGATAGTCAACCGCACAGGAACTTTCTAAGCAGCCCCAGACTGTGACACTGCACATTTATTCTCCCCATAACGTTCAAAGACCATATGGCTTAAGTGGGCTCAGTTAAACTTCTGAAACTTAGGATTTGTGTTATTTTGTCCTTCTATATAGATACAGTGACCAACCCCTACATATACACACTCCAGAAAACACAACTGTCGAGACAAATGAAGTCTGTGAAGGAACACTGCAGCCTCCCAAGATGCTATTTCATGATATGAACACGTATGTATAAGGCAGTGATACAGAGGTCCCTATTCCATGATATGAACATGTATGTATAAGGCAGTGATACAGAGGTCCCTCATCTCACAAAGTCAAGAGGGATGAGGGCTGGAATCCAGACCCTTGCGACTTCTTAGCTTACTGAAGACTTAGGGAGGACTAGCTAGAGTCCATTTGGTCTTCCCATTATTTGATGGGAAGAAATACACACAGGATAGGTTAGTGATTTTTCTCAACACGTGTTATAAAACTTGCAGCGAGATTACACAGCTCATCCGAGGTTATTCCACTAGTATATGAAGCCAGGCCTGCATCATCAAAATTCAAATAGTAATATTTTCTGACTTATTATTCTATAGTAACCATTTATCTATTTTTTTTCCTCCCAGTAACTCCTTGTGTCTGTCTTACCAATGAGAAACAATGGTTTAGAGAATTGTGATTTGGCCAAAGTCAAGCAACATTATATTAACGAAGGCTTCACGTCTAGATCATTGGTTGTGGAGCCTAATTAACTCAGGTATTACTCTATCCCGCTGTGAAGAAAGGCTTTCCCTCCTGCTTCAGACGCATCTGAAAGCGGAAACTGTTTACGGAAAACTTAACTAATGGCGACAGTTTAGAACCAGATAAGCACTGTCTCCCGAAGTCTTGATACTGGGAGGGATGACCAAGCAGGAACACATTAAAGCGTTAGGAGAAATCAAATCTTCAGAGGAGCCAGCACAAAAGCCTGAGTGTGTGGCTTGCCCGAAACCCTTGCTTGTGCAAGCGGAAAGGAAACGACAGCTCGTCACAAAGCAGCAGTGATGGCCTTGCTGTCGCATCCCTCACCGCGGACTCAGGGGTACAGTTACTCCTGTGCGAGCCCAAGCCAGCACAGATAGGTAAACGGCATACGCGTGAACGTGGGAAGTAGGGGAAAGAGCTCAGGTCGTGAGAGCCGTTCACACACTCTCAGCATGGGCGGTGAGCAAACAGGTCGCTGCACACAGGCGAGTGTGGGCTGGGGACAGTCTGCTCTTGATGGCAGAGGTGAGGAGGAGATAAAGCATCAGCAAATACGATTTTGTCCTCCCTCCTCTCCCCTGCCCTGGGTGGGTACCTCTTGCAGTTTTTGATCTTCATGGGTCATGGAGAGCAGCGCTGCGCTGTTGCGAACCACGGGGATTTCCTGCCAGAGAGAGCCACTGGAGGCTATGGAGAGGCGCTGGAGGTAGGAGTCTGAAGGCACCCCTGCCTTTCGGCGCTGCCGGGGGGAAGAGAATCCAGGTGCCTCGGCCAGGCTGTCCAGCCGCTGCTGGCTCTGAATCTCCTTGTTCAGAGCAACATCACTGTACTCCTGATAAAGTAGCTGGGCTACGGGTGAGGGTTCATGGGAGAAGGAGAAAATCCTGAGAGAATGAAGTTGAGGAGTGGATGCCCACAGCAGAAACGGCCCTCGGCGGCTGACCTCTGGCAACCCTGTCTTCTGGACGCCACCACTTTATTGCTGGCCGTCAACGAGTCCCTGTCCCACTTTAGGGGGGGGGGGAGAGCACACCCGAGCCTAGAGATCTGTGCCAAGGTACTCACAGGAGTTGATGAGCTTGGAGCAACGCCTTGAAAAGCCTCCCATCCCTTCCTTTGGCTTCTTCTCCCTGTGGAGTAGGCAGGCTCTGGGGTGCTTGTTGACCAAGAGACAGAAGACCCCCAAGTGACTTTAGATGAAGAAACCTCTAACCCTCCGGGCACATGACAGGAAGTCATGACCGAAGGAACAGCGGCTTCAACCTGTCTCCATCATGGCTCTTTCCATTCATTCAACCCTTCTTCCTATCTCAAAGTCCAGAGAAGATCCCGAGGACTTAGGAGAACTTATAGAAACTCAGTGAGGCGTGTCAACCAATAATCCCATATGACATGTGGAAGGAGACTGGTTTCTTGTCATATGCCTGAGGACAGCTGACCCACACACAGTACGCACAACTGGGCATGTCCAGACATCTCCCTTCCCAGCAGTCCTGGAGCCTTTCTTTCCCTTTCCTTACTTTTTTTTTTAAAGATTTATTTATTATGTATACAGTGTTTTGCCTGCATATCAGGAGAGGATGCCAGATCTCATTACAGATGGTTGTGAGCCACCATGCGGTTGCTGGGAATTGAACTCAGGACCTCTGGAAGAGCAGTCAGTGCTCTTAACCGCTGAGCCATCTCTCCAGCCCCCCTTTCCTTAGTTTCTGAAGACAGAGGCACCAGAAATCACTCTGGGTCCCGGTATCGTCACGCCCTGAAGTCCTACTAAGGAAATCTTTGTGTCACAAATATAAAGACTGTACAGCCGAATTTGTGAGGAGCCAGGACAACTCACCGGAAAACAACAGAATCCGAGGAGCTAGGAGGTCTTCCCATGCCTGGATTTCTTAAGTCTGGAAAAGGGAAATGGGTGACACACAGGGACAAGGGAAAGGATGAGCAGGGATCACGGATGAACTGAAGATGGTTCTACTAGAGTCTGGGGGAGAGGACAACAGTAAAAGCCAGAAGCATTCCAGGAACCCAGGAACCCCCGTGTCTCTGACCCTTGTGTCAGGACAGAAGACTGCTATCAGCTATGCCTCCAACCTTCCTACAACATGGGAAACGCACAAAGAAAGGGAGCCCCGAAACTTCTTCAAGGCAGAAAGCAAGAAGGGGTAACCACGGAGGGAGTTGGGCAACGCCAGGAAGAGGTGGACTTTGGGGAAGTGAGAGATGGAAGGGCAGAGAGGGGGTAAGGACAATCTGACACCACCATGGGGCCATGACAATCCGACAGCATCAAGGGGCCATGGGTTTCTGAGCTGAAGGCAATCGTGCAGGAGAGTGCGGCCGCAGACAGAGACCCCGGAGAAGAGAAGAACTAGAAGAGAAGCTCCGCCCAACCACGATCTTCCTGCAGTCTCCACTCCCCACTTACCCGAAGAGCCCTCGGGCAAGAGAGAAGGTCTCCTCAGGCCTTGCCGGTTCCAGCCCTTGTGTTTGCTTGATGCCTGGCCCACAGCCAGCTCACCGACACGCTCTGATCTCCCTGGGTTCTGCCTATGGGGCCAGCTGGATGTCTTCTCCAGTTGGCGGTGCATGAGTTTCTCTGACTTTCTCGGTGCTAAAGCTGACCTCTGTGTGTCATTACAACCCTCCTGAGGGGCTGATCTTCTAAGCGATCCTCTCGCTGAGGGCTCAGATTCCTCGGTGAGCCCTGACTCATCCTTACCACCGGCAGGTCTCTGAAGTTCCGGGATCCAGGGAGTGGTGGGGGAAGAGGGACTTAGAAGGTTTGTCATGTTGCTGAAAGCTAGGCCAGGGGATACCTCACTATTACTCCTACCGGTGGCGGCCAAAGACTCTGCTGCTCTTCCTGTGGCCGGGGGCCAGGACGTCCGTCCAGAGAGAGTGGAGACTGTCCAGTCTTGGCCAGTGGGTCTTGGTTTGGCTTGACCCCCGGAACGTATAACTCCCCCCTGGACACTCCTGCTTCTCCCCTTGGATTTTGGGGGCAGCGGGGGTGGTTCAGAGAGAGGGACTGGGGGCAGAGGCCTGTATACCCTTGGTATACTAGAGGGAGCGATGGAAGAATTGTGCTCAGGCACATCGGGAGTTGGGGGTAACGGTTTGTTGTATCTCAGCCTTGAGACGGAGGCCTGAGTATGGCGGGGACTTTCTGGGGTGGATGGCAGAGGGCGGTACTGCCTTGCTACAACAGACTCAGGAACCAGGGGAGATGGGCCTTTAGGAGGTGCATGTAGCCCCAAACCTAGGGCCAATGGAGGAGGATGACTGTGTCGCTTCAGTGTGGGGGCTCCTGCATGAGGATGGCCATCTCTCTCGACTACAGAACTGTAGCTATGTCTCTTTTCTGGGGGAGGAGGGGGGGAAGCTTCATGTGTCCTCGTATCCACGGAGACGGTGGGCGGAGAAGACACATTCACCCGAGAACCCTCCAAGGCCGAGTGCTGTGGGGAGCCCCACAGCCGACCACCGCCAGGATCGCTCGGCCTGTCTGGATCTGGAGGGAATTCCTCATAGTCCCGCCTCACAGCAAGGACGGCAGCAGAGGATTCTGAGAAGAGGATGCCATCCCGGCTTCTCCTGTTTCTCCTTGGGATCGGAGAGCCGTAGGTGGCAGGTTTGGGCGGCCTCTGCGGTAAATCCAAATGAGAGAAAGAGAAAGACATCCCTGCAGAGTCCGGAGTCTGCTCTGTCCTGTGGGAGCCCGGAAACGAGTTACTTCTTAGATGTTGGATAGCTCCGGGGTAGCTTGTGAGAGGGCCGTGAGGGTTGCCCTTGCCAAAGGTGGCACGTGGGTCCTTGGTAGTTTTTGCAGGTACCGGAGGAGCCTCAGATGTCCCACAGTGAGGTGATGTGTCGGTTGAGAGAGAGGATGCTAGGGCGTACGTCCCAGGAAGGACAACTGGAGCGCTCGCTGGTGACAAGGTAGCAGTAATGGGTAAGACTTCAGCAGGACTGGAAGGAGCTGAATTGGGTGTCCTTGGAGGAGCCACAGACACATTAGCAGAGACAACCTCAGTCCCCCGGATGGACACGGTCCCTTGCCTCACCCTGAATCCTTCTTGCTGGCTGTTGTGAGTCCTATCATCCAGGGGTTCTTCAGTAGCAAGAGAGTCAGGTGGAGAAATGGGCTGGAGAGGCCATCCTGTTGGCTCCGGTGCGGGAGTCAGAACTTGGGGGATCAGTTCCTTGGGAACAGGCTCCCCCTGAACCCCAGGAATATCAGTCACGGGGCAAGAGATGCCCGGAAACAATGTACCTGAAAAGAGAACCTCAGGAGCCGTTGGAGGACAAGGCTTGTCCCCTTCTGTTCTCCTCCCTTCCGCTGCGGCCTGCCCACGGCTTCCCCACCTCCATTGCCCCAAGTCACCCGAGTCTGCAACCTCCTCCTGGTCCTCTACCGGCACCGCTTTCCCGCTTTCGTCGTGATCTTCCCGCTCTCCACTTAGGCCCTCCGATTTCACCACTAACCTGTGATTCTCTGCATCCTGAGCGCCCACCCTCCTCTCTCCCATCTCCCTTAATCGGCCGCCCCGCCTCTCCTCTTCTGGATCTCTCTGACCCTGCAGGCTCCCATCCCTGTCCTCTTGACCCCGCTCCCTGCAACCCAGACCCTCCAATTCCCCGTCGAGCACCCGACTTTCCCTTTGCCCTCCAAGCGTTATATGGTTTTGGACCTGTTCCTGTCTCTGTGCTTCCTCGTTGCCATTAACCCCCTCTCCCTCCTCTTCCCGCTGCCCTGGAAGCCCATCAGAACAAATGTTTTCCCTCGGAGCTCCTCCCTCCTGAGTTTCTACTTCCTGTCCTTCCTGCTCCTCCAGTCCCTGGGCCTCCTGAGGCTGGAGGAGTCCTTGCTTCTGCTTTCCTTGCCCGTCCTCGTCCTCCAGCTGCTTGAGCAGCCCACTTCCAGGGCCCTCAGACTTCTCAGCCTCACCAGGGTGCTGTAGGCGGGGAGGCCACAACCCTCTAGGGTCAGCGGTGCCGGGAGAGCTTTCTTCTCCTTTGGCTTTGCTAACTGCCAATGCCAAAGACATGAATTCGGGCTGCAATTCTATCTCCACTCTGCTGTCTACTTTGCCGGACATGTCTAGCCATTCTTCCTGAACGGCACAGGTCAAGAGCTCAGGGACAGCTATTGTGCTTGACGGTCTGTCTTTAAGGCTCTGGGATACCGGCTCCAGCCGACCTAGAGTGTCACATGCCTCAGCTGCAAGGATTTCCTGGTTGGTCTCCACATCTGAAGAAACTTCCTTTAAGAAAAATCCCATACTGTCAGGTGTGTGGTCACTCATGCCCCTTGACTCGTCTGGGTGGTTCACCAAGGGTCTGCGTCCATCTGCCCACTTGTAGGACGGGTCTCGGCCTTCTTGTGCTTCAGGCTCCAAGGCAGGGATCTGACTGCTCCTCATGATAGCTTCAGGGACAGCCTTAACTTCTTCTATGGCAGGCACGGGTGCGGATGCTCCATGGTCAGGCTCGTCAGCCTCCATCAGGGCTGAATCCTAAAGAAGAATACAAAACAGTTTCCAATGCCTCACCTGTGTCTGTGTACATGGGGAGAGATCATGAAGAAGATGAATGGGAAACGTCTTCAGTTCAATTCAGGATCATTCTTCAAGACAGGTACTCAATGAAATGAGCACTAGCCCTCATGTGTGTTGCTTAATTTTATTTTTAAGTTAAACTAAGCTATAATTTCTTTTTTAAATTTATTTTTATTTATATATAAATCTGTATGTACACACAGTGACCACAGAGTCCAGAAGAGGGCAACAGATCACCCGGAAATAGGGTTATGGGTGCTTGTGAGTCTTAATATGGGTGCTAGGAATTGAACTAGTGTTCCTAACTATTAACTCATCTCTGTAGTTCCCAAGAGACTTACAGGGGCTGGGGAGATGGTTCAGTCGGTAAGTGTAATAAAGATTTATCTAGAGGGAATGGGAAGGTGGCTCAGTTGGCATACACACGTAAGGACGTACACGTAAAAATACCAGGAGTAGTAATGTGTTCTATTACTACTAACGAGTAGGGGTGACAGTCTAGTCAATCAATGAGTACCAGTTCAGTGAGCATTTGTCTCAAAAGATAAGGTGGAGAGCCTTCAAGGGATGTGTCTAGCATGAACTTCTAGCCTCTACAACAGAACACAACAGACACACACACACACACACACCACACACACACACACACACATACACACTCACACACAATTTACCTAGTGACCCTTTAAAGTGTAGGACAACCAGCCACGACCAAGACAAAGCTCCGGGTGGATCTTGTAGTCTCGTGGGAAAAACTCATTACAATAGATTCAATTAGCATTGAAGACCATTGTCAGAGAGTTCCAGGAACTGCCAGTGGTCATTGCCCTCTAAGTTCTATTATGCCATTGTCTATTCCTCCCTCTCAACTCTCTGGACTCTCGGGGTGACTCAGCCTGGAATAACTACCAGACATGATGGCTGACACACCCTACATCTCAAACAGCCACAGAGAAGCAGTGTCAGGAGTGGAACCATCCTCCTGAGCTGCTGACACAGGATTAAAGTAGGTCAAGCTATTATAGCCAATGTACAACGGACAGGTCCTTGGCACAAAGTCTGGATTTTACTCATCTATTTTTGTAATGTCTAACAGTGCTTTTTAGCTAATGAGCAACTTTGTTTTTAATTATAGAGACAGCCGCTGTTAAACGGAAAGATAGCCCCACTTACTCTATTCTACGCGGTCCGTAAAGCTGTGCTACCTTCATTATGACGCTGTCTTCTCCCTAACACCAGGTTAGCTCCCCTCCTTAGCCCCAACACTGTGACCTTCTTCCCTGTTTCCCCCTTCCAAAAGAACACCTCCTATCCTAGTTTGCAAAAAGCTAAGAAAACAATGGAGAGATGCTGGTTCCATTTATTGCGATTCAAGAACAGCCTGCGTGGCTGCTCGGTCTTCCATCTTTTAGTGACCTTGTCATGGACTACCTCTTTAACCACTCTAACAGTACCTACGCAGCCCCAGGCATCCTTCGTCTTCGGGAGTATATAAAACAAGTTCTGCCCATGTGCTATCTTTACAGCCTCACCCCCACTCTCTCTACCCCGTTTCAACAGGTGACATTCTGCCAGTATCCCGTGTCACTGCTTTTGGCGGTGGCTGTGTGGATTCTCATTCTTGGCATTGATGCCAGTGTGCTGTCAGGGCTTAGGTTTTTTTGGGGGTTTCTAATTCCTCAAATGGGCCAAACTACATTTGTATTTCAAGTCATTAACAGTGATAACTCCCTTGCATTTATACCGTTTCAGTTGTATAATTATGCGATCTGATTTAACCTTAATTTCGGCCAGTGAATGACCAGGTGTGCGAGGCATGCTTTCTTCAGTTGCCTACACAGTAGGCCCACGGTAAGTGCTCCGTAAATATCTTAAACATAAAGAATAAGTCTCTTGTTTCCCTCCTGGCCAGGCGTTCCCATAGCATGCTCATACATCTTCATACCTGGGGCACAGCCCTGCCCCAACCTCCACACAAAAACACCACTTACAGTTTACATTCCTTGGTATCTTCTGACCAGCTCTGAGATTGAACACCAAGAATTCAGCAAGGACCATATATACCCTGTGTAATCTAGTCTTCGCCGTCCTTTTCCAGCACCCGCCTCTACCTTCAGCTCTCAAACCCCTTTCTCGCAGCTATAGGCCTTCATGTGTGGTGCTCCTCTGCTGGTGTTTGTCCCAGAGAGTTCTACCACACACTGAGCTGTGTCAGGATCTCCATGAGGGCACACCCTCTACCATGCTTACTGTGCCGTCCCCTCGACTTAAAAGTTCTACGGTTCTTGGGAGAGACGTACAGTCAAAAGGGCATGCTTCGATTTTTCAAGTTCTGGAGTTTTGACTCTTTGCTAGCTTTTACGTCAACTGCAGAAATATTTAATATATTTGACTACCCTTTTTCTTATCTATAAGAGATGAGAAAAACTGCTTCCTTCACAGTTCTAATGAAGATTAACTAATACTATGCAACAACAACAACAAAAAAGCTCGCTGGTGTCTTGAAAAGTGATAGAAACTGCAGGTGTTATTGCTCTGAGACATGGAATATGTGTAGAAAAGAAACAGGCCGAGTGTTGGTGGCGCACGCCTTTAATCCTAGCACTTGGGAGGCAGACGCAGGTGGATCTCTGTGAGTTTGAGGCCAGCCTGGTCCACAAGAGCTAGTTCCAGGACAGCCTCCAAAGCCACAGAGAAACCTTGTCTCAAAAAAAAAAAAAAAAAAAAAAAAAAAGAAAGAAAGAAAAGAAAAGAAACAGAAGATTGTAAGCTGCGGGGGCCTTTCTAGAAACACAAGACCTTGCTCCATTTGCAGATAGCAAAACTCAAGCTCAAAGACTCCGTTTCCTAAGCAAATGACCCAAGTAAACCAAAACAAAAAAAGCACTCAGTCGTTCAGCCACAACACAAGTGAGGACCCTATGGACCTTGGGACCCTCAATGCACCCCTGCTATGCAACTTTCTCATAGACTCCAGGTTTAATGTGGGGAAACCACCCATGAAACTGCCTTTTGTTGTCATAGAGTGGCTACGTACACACACACACACACACAGTGACTTACCTACCCTTGCAGTCTCTATGCAATAGAATCTGACATAACCAAACAGGCAGGTCCCTAGGCACCCACCTTGCAGATGTCTATGTGACAAATTCCTGGTCACCTCATAGATACAGATGTTATCTATATAGGACAAGTAGATATGATTGACATAAATGCAATTCAGTTAAAGGATTTTTATGTCCTTTTCCAGTTAACTGGCAGAGTCTGAGTTGCTCTATCTGGCCCTTAAGTATGAAACATACAAATGATATGTAATGTGACCTTAATTCTCTCTGCCACATGTTAAATAACACATTCGTTCACCGACAGCTTCTGAAACTTGCTCCTACCTGCCCCAGAAAACTATGTGACAAACACTGTTATCTCTCCTCACCAGCATCTGTATTGTCTGGATCCCTATCTCCCAATATCATCATATGGTAAAAAAGGGACTCACTGGATTTATAAATGAGTTCCTGCCATAGCCACTAAGGCTATGCGTATATTTTCAATTCTGATCTAAGGACACAATGAATGCCTGTCTCTACAATCTTACAACAATGTCTTCCAGAAACAGGGCAGTTGCCAGGCGGGTGCTGGTGGCACATGCCTTTAAACCCACCACTCCAGAGACAGAGGTAGGCGAAGCTCTGTGAGTTCAAGGCCAGCCTGGTTGACGGAGCAAGTTCCAGGACAGCCAGAACTATACAGAGAAACCTTGTCTTGAGATCCCCTTGGGGCCCCCCAAAAGGAAGAAAAGATATATGGTAGCCACCTGTTTATTTACCACTCATGCGAAAGGTAGCGCATAGCCTAGTTCCGATAGTTAATTATATCTCCATGATCCTACACAAACAGGCATGACCCGGCTAGAATGTGGAGAAAACTAAAGGAAGTCTGTGAAACATGGTCTTACTCACATGAAGGAATTAGACTAAGAATGGATTTTTTTTTAACTATCCATTCCGTTAAGAGTTGAAATGTCCTCATATCCTTCTCATCTGGGGTGACTAATCACTATTTATCTGCACACAGGCAGACAGGGCACAGCATCACAGGAAACTGGCTTCTCTCCAGATCAGAGACATTTCGCATCTTCAAGACACCACGCCGTGTAACTTTTTAGGAGGCAAAGCCCCAAGTCACCCCATTAACAGTACGGAACACAGAAGACCTCCCCAGTCTCCTCCAGACACTCCCTCAACACCTTAGCTCTTGCCCGTTTCTAACCACCAGGTATAAAATGATTTCGAAGATACCCTTACTTCTTGGGATGGCTTGTGTATTTATGGTGGCATAAACACTTCTGCCTTACAGGAGGAAAACACATCTCCTGCCTTCAATCCAAAAGACACTCTCTTATTTTCATTTAGCCCATGCAATCACCCCACAGATACGCAACTTGATTCAGTGTTTGAAATGACTGCCCTCAGTAGTCCAAAGACACCAAAATAAGGGTACAATGACACCACTACCGAGACCTGTCCAACCAACTTGGTGGAGAATGGAATAAACATCTTTTACTCTCTCATGTACTAAACATCATCAACTGCCTCAGAGGACAGATGGTCTCATATAGGAATATTCTAAGCGAGGATGTTTACGTCCTCAGGCCCACCTGTGGCGTGGGGCCATCCACTCGGGTAAGGTGTGACTTGATTATCCTGGGTGACACTGTTCCTTTGTGTACTTTATAGGCACTCTGAGTGGCCAGCTTACTCTCCACACAGAGAGTAGGGAGTCCCGTTCACAACCAAGGCTGTCAATCACCTGTTTGTTTCTATACCATTTTGTTCAAAACACCACGAGAGAGCCCATGTGAGCCCACACCAGAGTAAGTGACGATTCCAGACACCACAAATGATGTCTTCTTGTCTATCCCGAAGACAGACGAGTGCATAAAGTGACCACAGACAACCTCAGACAAATCACATTATGGGCAGCCATAGGGCGCCCCGATAGGTGAAAACTTTGGCTGTATCTGTAATTTCTGTATTCTTTTGAAAAGAGGGACATCATTGCATTCCTTCTGAGTTCTTTCCTCTTTTAACACAATCTTAGAATTTACACCTCGGTCCCCTGCCCAGCTCCCCCCCCCCCCATGTCCTTTCAATGCTCAGTCTTAAGTCAGGTCTGGTTAACAAATAATGACTGTTTTGATAGGGCCCGGAGCTTCCAAACCCCAGGTGTAGATAAAGCAGGAAGTCTGGGAAGAGGCCACATTGGGGGTTGTTTCTCTGGGGCTTGGTGCTTTTAAGCAGGGAGCACTGTAGGGGAGGAAGGAAGCAGAAAGGAAAACCACCCTCTCGCCCTCCTCCGTTTGGTGTGCCCTCCCCCCCCCCCGCAGTCTGACCCATGGCTGGCCAGAGTTCACAGCTAGGCCGACAGGAGGACAAGACGGTCCTGGGAACCCAAGATCCAGGAAGCGGGGAGGGGAGCTGAGGCTTGAAAACTGAGGCTCCAGGATTAACTCTCTCGGGCCAGTTCTGCCGAAAGGCGTTTGTAAAAGATGCTCGGAACTAGGGCTCCGAAAATGGGCTCCTGCATCCGCAATCTGGCTGGCTGCTCTAAACAGCTCTTGTACGCTTTTCTAAGAACCTTGTTGTACCGAGGCCAACGAGAAGCTCCCTATATAGGCAGGTAAATAGGGGAGAGGGGACTCAGAGCAAGGATCCCTGTTACAAATTTCAGAGCCTTGGTTAACAGGGGGACAGAGGTGTACACACGCACGCACACACACACACACACACACACACGCACGCACACACACACACACACACACACACACACACACACACACACACACACGTATGCATGGAAATGCCGCCGAGATAACGAAGCAAGGCCCAGGCCTGGGTTACCTCCGGGGGAAAAAAGGAAAAGAAAGAAAGAAAAGGAGACAATAACACTTCCCAGGTAAGGGGCAGTCGAGAAACTGAAACTTAAAAATCCCTTATGCTCGCAGTTAGCTTTCCCCCAGGCCCCCGACTTTGTGGGTGGGGGGAAAAAGAAAAGTTGTGATTATTAAGCCGGGAACATCGCGGGGCAGGGTGCCCATTCCCAAGGCGCAGACCTGGCTGGAAAAGCCAACTTTTTCCAACAGGCCATTCCTCCTGGCTCCCTCCCTCTCCTCCACCAGGTACTCAGCCCCTCGCTCGGAGCCCGGCCCACTGGCCCAGCCCCCCGTTTCCGGAGCCTGCGCCCCGGGGACCTGGCAAGGGACTGGTCCCCGGGGAGGCCTAGTTCCCTCTTCTTTCCCGCCCCTGCCTTCCTACGGCCGGGCGTGCGCCACGGCCCACTCGGAGCCCGAGGCTCCAGGAGAGGGAGAGAGAGAGGAGGGACACCCACCTGGTCGGAGTCACATGCTGCCCCGGGCCGGCCCGAGAGTCCCCTCCAGGTCCCGGCGCCCGGGCGCCCGCCGCGGTCCCCAGCCAGGCCAGGCCGTCCCGGCGCCCCACCCGCGGCCCGCCCCTGCCGCCGGACGGGAGGGAGGGACCGGCTTCTCCCAAGGAAGTTTCAGGTGAGGAAACAGGGACACACCTTCCCGGGGGAGGGGCAGCTCCGGGAAGTGCGGGGCTCTGCACTTAGGGCGGACCCACCGCCCCCGCCGCCGCCGCAGCCGGGCCGTCCGGGGCCGGAGCCCCGGCCGCCGCCACTTAGGGAGACGCATGGAGACCCCGGGCGTGCGACTCCCCGGTGTCCCGTGGGTCCCCGCACGGCCCCCTGCGCGTCTCTTCCTCCGAGGGTCCTCTTCAGGTCTCCAACCGAGCCTCCTCGGACCCGGCTGACTTTTCCTGCCCCCCCCCCGGAGTGTCTCTGGCTGGCTGATGTCTCGGGAAATCCTGAGACCTGTGGCTGTCCGCGTGCGTCTTTACCTTCAGGGTGTAGTGCAGGTTTTCTCTTCCCTGGCGTTGGGCATAAGATAAAGGGCGTCTCTGGCTCAAGTTCTCCTGTCTCTTGTCTCTGTGACTCTCTGTCTCTGCTTGTCCCTCTCGCTTCCTCCTGTGGTCGTCCCTCCTTTCATTTGGGTGCCGTGAAATATGCTTATTTCTGTAGATAATCCAGTTTGCGTCCATATTCTTAGGTTCATTTCAAGATCCTGTGTCCCGGTTTCTATGACCCTTCTCTGTTCTTTCCAGTATTCTGAGAGTGTATGTGTTTGTTTATGGTTAATTCTTAAGCCTGTGTCTTTGGTCTGTTCACACACGCACGCACACGCACACACATCTCTCTTCTCCTCTCCTCTCCTCTTTCTCTCTCCCTTACCTAAGGACACAACTTTGGGTGTTCTAAGCATAGGCTGTCTCCCCAACCCATTCATTCCATAGTAATGTGTGTCCAGGAGAATATTAACAGGTTCTCTGATTGTTTTGCTTTTTCAGGAATGCTGTAGCCCACAGTGCCAAACAGCTTGGTAAGTAGACTGTTCTCTGGTTCCTGTGCTCATCAGCTTCTCCACTGACCTGGCAGAAAAGGCTGAGCAGTTGTATGGAAAGCCCTGTGGAATAAAAGTTGACTGAGCAAGAATGGCCTCCTCTCTGATCATCCTCAAGCAATGTTGTGTTCAAGAAATGTCCTAGTTCCTTCCGTCGTGCTCCTTTGAAGGATTAAATTTTAAACAGTTCAGCTAGCTTTGACACACTCAATTGTCATGAAATATACAGGAAGTAACAGGAAATGCCAAGACTAGGATTCAACCATATAAGGGCAGGCCAGCATGCTTCATAAACCCAGCACAGGCATAAGAACAAGGAGTGAAACGAATCAGAAAATTAAAGCTGGCTGAAATGTTTACACTTCTAGACTGGGAGAGAGAACTCCAGCCATCAGAAGGTCCTGATCTCTCATTGGCGAACAGGTTTTGTCAACTTCTGATGTAGACGATCTTTCGACAGCTTCCGAGATGCTTCTCACTTGTAGCCAATATGGACAGGGATGGGGGCATTCATTTTGCTGCCCTTGGCTCTCCTCAGTATCAGAGAAAAACGTTCCCCGTTTTTCTCTCCATCTGAGTCTCACAGCGGGAACCTCCTTGTGTTTATTGATTCTGAGCTAGCGATATTTTTGTTCTGTAAGTCTCTACCTTTCTTTCTCTGCTCTCCGGCTCCTGTCCCAAGCTAAGCAGGGGAATGAATGTTGGCCTGGCTCTCCCACTGGTAGTAGGATGCAGAGAAGTTGAATTGACATCTTAGGGAGTTTTCTTGAGCCTCTGTCTTCAGAGTATCCCTGAACATAAGGCCTGTTTAGCTCTCCTCACCTTGCAAACTGAGTGCCATTATTTAATTTACATTTTTCTTTTACCTTTCTTGGTGCCTGGACTTTGGAGTGAGGGTTGTTATCCTGTCCTGAGATAAAGAGACGTTGTTTGGGCTCATATTTCCTCTAAAACTCTTAGATAAAAGGGGGGAATGGTCCATGGAAAGAGGATGGTATACAGGTTCATTAGGTCGGATGTAGACGTGAATATTTGAATGTTACCTCTGCCACTTACTTAGCAAGAAAACGCGGGGATGTTAACTTTCTGGTGCTTTACTTCAATGTTTTTGTAAGTTTTTTTTTTTTCCTGCAAGACATTCACAGTAACACCTGACTGGGTTGCTGTGGCAACTCAAGAAGGGATATAGGGAAATCATTTACGCAAAGCATGCTATAAGGCATGCTATATAGGAAGATGCGGGATATGGGTTATTTTCCTTTTCTAATTTCTAAGAGGACCTGACAGTTATGCATGTGAAATGGAATTGAATTTATGGTGACAACTAGATAAGATGGATTTGGAATAAAGTTATTTTTAAATGGGAGCTGTATTTGGTGCAGAGGAATAAACACAGGCTCTGGAGTTTGAGGTCACTTCAGTCAGAGAAAGTGCCTCTGAAATCCAGCTAGGAGCAAGGAGAGGAACAAAGAACTTCCTTGTGTAGTTCCAGATATTAAAGATAAATTGTTTTGCAGTAGGAATGCATTAGCCTTAACCCTAGAGCTACCATCGTCTTGAAGACATTCACCTGGTGTTCCCTGTCCCCAGCTGGGCAACTCCAATTCCTGCCGATCCTATGCCGGCTCCTGGAGTGCTGCTCACACACTCCTGGGTCTGCTTTTTTGCCTGCTTGTATACCCTACCTTTAAACACTTTGGACTGGAGTTTGAGTGAACTTCTTTTCTTTTCCTTTTTTGGTTTTTATGAGACAGGGTTTCTCTGTATTGTTTTGGAGGCTGTCGGTCCAGCCCGGCCTCGAACTCACAGAGATCCTCCTGCCTCTGCCTCCCGAGTGCTGGGATTAAAGGCGTGCGCCACCACCGCCCGGCGAACTTCTTTTCTTAATTTGGGTGACTATGGTCTCTTCATTTCCATCCTTTAAATCCATCCTAACTTGACCACTATGGTTCTTAGCTATTTTGTTAATAATTTGATGAACGTATTTTTTTTTCTTTTCTCATTTTGGTTTCCACTTGACTTGTTTTCTCAACCTCCCCACACTGGCACTTACTCAACTTAGTGCTATGCAAGGCATATGCACTAATTAACACCTTCATTTTTTCCCATCATCCTTTGTTCTGTAAGTATCCACAGGCACCAGGCCTCTGTTTCCAAGGAGCTTCCCAACACGTCAAAGTAACAGACAACAGACAATGATGGCCGACTATGAGTGCATCGAGGGGGGCAAACTTCACTGCATGGGCAGCAGAGGGGACATCATAGGTGATTACATTTTATCAGAGGTGTTATAGAGAGTGAGTCTTTGTTTGTAAAAGAAGATACAGCCAAGGCAGACGAACACTGGAAATAGGAAGCCTGAGTATCTCCTCATCAGGGACGTGTGAATAGTGCAGGTTTAGCTAGAGGAATGGTGAAGTAACGGAGAGTGTTTGGGAATGGTGGTCAGGCAACCACATCCAGGAAGGCCTGTGGCCACGCATTCCATCAAGCTTAGGTCATGATGTGATGAGATCAGAAGTCAAGAAAAAAAAAGCCACTCTAGTTGGAGAGGGGAGGATAGATGGGAGTGGAGAATGAAATGGAGATACAGGGGAAGCCCACTGAATGGTGTGGTTGATAATGTGCTGCAAGTTACAGTCTGCGGGTCAAGTAGATGACACCCTGAGCCAATGCTGGAGGAAGGGCAAGCAGGAGATGAAATGGAATTCAGGGTCAGGATGACTCTTCTTGAAAGTAGACAATAAATTCAGAACTGGAACGTTGACTATGGGAAAAATGCAATAGCTCGCTCACATGCAAGCTGACCGGGTAGAATGAAGACCTCTGAGTAAATCCATACACTTATAGCCAGTTAATGTTTTATAAAAGTTGTCAGAAACAACTTTTGGGGGGGGGAAAGAGCCCCTTCAACATATGATGCTGGGCAAACTGGATATCCACATACAGAAGAATAAAAGTAGATCTCATCCCTATACAAAAATGAGTTCAACACTGATTAAAGACCTCAGTGTAGACCTGAAACAGAATCTTCTAGAAGAAAATAAAGAGGAAGAAAAGGGAGATATAGTTAGTGGATTCCAGCAAATGACTCTGATAACTTGGGAAATCATCCTGAGAATTTACAAATGGGATTACGAGAAAAAAACTTAACACCAAAAAGGAAACAACCACCAAATCAAAAGAGAGCTATAGAATCGGAAAGATTCATGGCCAACTATATGTCAGGCAAGGAATTAATATCTAGAATATGTAAAGAACTGTAAAGATTAAACCCTAAATACCAAATCATCCAATTAGTAAATGGGTTTAGCTAAACGGGACATTCTCAGAGGAAGGATTACAAGTAGCTGACAAATATTTGAAAAAGTATTGGACATCCTTTACCCTCAGGGAAAAATGCTAGTGAAAACTGCTTTGAGATGCCATGTGACTCCAGGGACAGTCATCAAGAAAAGGGACAACAGCAACGCTGGGCAAGGATATAGGAAAAGTGGAACTGTCATACTTGTTGGGACAGCTGCTCCGGATATCAGCATGGAGGCTTCTTATAAAACAGCCCAGCTGTACTTCCAAACACACGCCTGCAGGTCTGAAAGGCAATACACCACAGAGGTATTTACATACCCATGTTTTCTGCCGCACCAGTCACAATCGCTAAAAAATAGAGCTAGCCTACATGTCCATCAAGAAATCCATGGATAGACACTGGAGAGAGATGGCTGTCTTTAGGAGCGCTGGAGGCTCTTCCAGAGGGCCTGGGTTTAATTATAGAAGTCCAGTTCCAGGGGATTCAGGGCCTTCTAGCCTCCAAATGTTCTAGGCATGCAAGTGTTCCTTAGACCTACATGTGAATTTTTTTTCAAAACTTAAAAAAAGAATGACTGGATAGAGAAAATGTATAAATACACACTAGAATTTTATTCAGTAATAAAGAAAAATGAAAGGATGGCATTTGAAGGAAAATGGATGAAACATGTTAAACAAGATAAGCCAGACTCAGAAAGACAAAGACTACTACATATTTTCTCTCATATGCAGAATACAGATTTAAATTTGTGTATGTAGAGGGAAGAGGTCTTTTAAAAACATAATAATTTATCGCTGGGTGTTGGCGGTGCACACATTTAATCCCAACACTCAGGAGGCAGAGGCAGGTGGATCTCTGTGAGTTCGAGACCAGCCTGGTCTACAAGAGCTAGTTGCAGGACAGCCTCCAAAGCCACAGAGAAACCCTGTCTTGAAAAACCAAATAACAATAATAATAATAATAATTTATCTTTATTTTATGTGCATTGGTATTTTGCCTGCATATATGTCTGTGTGAGAGTATCAGATCTTGGGAGTTACAGACGCCTGTTAGCTGTGATGTAGGTGCTAGGAATTGAACCTGGGTTCTCTGGAACAGCAGTTGGTACCCTTAACCACTGATCATCTCAAGAAAGGAAGGGGTCAAACGGGTAATGGAACGGAATATGAACTTTCTGGCCCAGCAGGTCCCTCTGCCCTTCTCAGCCCCAAAGAAACACACAGGTGCTGTATTAGTTATAAAGCTGTTGGCTGCTGTCTCGGGTTTCTTACTGGCTGGCTCTGTCTTATTAACGCACAACTATTAATCTATGTGTTTCCATGAGGTCTTATCTTACCCGGGGAAATATGGGACCTGAAGTTCCTTTGCCCACCACATGTTGACTGCTCAGCATCTCCCCAGAGAGAAAGAGGGATTTCCTGTTTGTCCCTGCTCATATCCTGATTCACTTCCTGTCTGGCCAATCAGCCAATCAATCATCAGTGTTTTATTCATCAACCAATAAGAGAAACATGTACACAGAAGAGCACTCCCCATCAATGGAACAGGTGTAGCTTGAAAGGAGAAGAGAGGGCAGTTTTGGTGGAGAAGGGAGGATCGGCCAGAGAGCCCAGGGATTAGGGAGGGCAGAGGTGAAGGGGGACAGAAAAAGAACAGAACATGATGGCATGTATGTATGGAAATAGTACCGTGGAAGCTGGTACTGCATATATTTACTAGAACATAATAAAAACCATTTCTCTCTGGAGTATTAGCTCTTTCTGCCTGTGGGAGATGCCATCTTCAGGATGTGCCTAGACATGGCCAGAATGCTAGAGTCCTTTTGGAGTGACTACCTTCATGATTATGTTCTACTTAGACGAAGATGAACACATCTGCTGACTGCCTTGCATTTTCATTACATGGGCTGGTACTTTGGTTTAGGATTTAGAAGCCACTGATCACAATGATAGATTAACATGCCTTCCCCGGTGCTCAGCTACACTTAACATTTGTGTCACAGAGCCAGAGCTTCAGTATGCCTGATGTATGTAGACACTGCCTGTTGCTTTATTCATTATTGGTCAAAATGGGCAGCACTATGGGAAATTACTGAAGAAAATAGAATGTTTTCCAAGAAACGCATGTGCATATTATCTCAAATGTTTTAACATCCGGCCATTCTTAGTGATTCCAAGTCAGCTATGCAGGTAGAAGTCAGTTATTTTATATATTAGAAAGCTAAATAGATCACCAACCACAACCTCACATACACACTGGAATCATATTAATTTGTGAATTAGTAATAATATCCATAACAACTAGGTGTGCAGAGTGCATCAAAGTATAGTTCACAAGATGCCTGTACCAGAATCACTTTAATGGGGGTCCATGAATATTTTTTAAAGGCTTAAAGCTAGGGATTCAGGACTCAGAGGTTAAGAGCGCTGACTTTGCTCTTCCAGAGGTCCTGAGTTCAATTCCCAGCAACCACATGGTGGCTCACAACCATCTGTAATGAGATCTGGGTGTCCTCTCTGACAATGCAGACATACATGTAGGCAGCACACTGTACACATAATATTTTTTTTAAAAAAGCTTGGAATTCATGGAATTTAAGTATATAGAGAAGGAGGGAGAAAATATGGTGAATTGCATCATCTGTCTTAAGACTGTTAGGAGAATCAGGGAAAAGAGAATTTAAAAAAGGATAAATTTTTTAAAAAGTATGTGTATGTGTGTATGCCTGCATGGGTTTATGTGTACCACGTGCATACAGATACCTGTGGAGGCCAGAGTTATATGTGTTTGTGAGATGTCTGATGTGTGTGTTGGACCCTTCTCCCATAGGGACTGCTGACCAACTTGTGATTAGGAGCAAGCATATCCTATTCCCCTCCTTCCAATTAGGCCTGAATGCAAGTTCCTGTTATCTGCCCATCCTTATTGCTGGAGGGCCCTGGGAACATGAGCTTCTGACCTTGATAGTTTTCCACCGTGCCTGCTGACTGGTATAAAATGCTCCCCTCTTGATACAATAAATGCCATTCTCCTTGCAGGAATGAGCCGCTGTCTTTTGTCTTCATCTCAATCCTCATGCCCTCACCGGAATCCTGGAGAAGTGTTGTAGCCGGAAATCGCTACACGTGTGTGCTGAAAGTTCTTTTTGTTTTGTTTTGTTTGTTTTTCCAGACAGGGTTTTCTCTGTATTTTTTTGGAGGCTGTCCTGAAACTCGCTCTGTAGACCAGGCTGGCCTCGAACTCACAGAGATGCGCCTACCTCTACCTCCCAAGTGCTGGGATTAAAGGCGTGTGCCACCAGCGCCTGGCTGTGTGTGCGCTGAAAGTTAAACCTGGGTCCCCTACAAAAGCAGTGAGCACACTTAAACACTGAGACATCTCCCCAGACTAAGAGAGGCTTTCTTATGCTGAGCCACTAGGGGTGAGGTTTTAATGATATCAAAATCAGACTAATGATGTGTGGCGTGTGTGTTGTGACTGAGTGGGGACACGGAGACACAATACCATCCTTCAAAAACTTGATCATAAGTGTGATCACTTGCTGTCATGCACCACTGACTTGCATGTGTGAAGTGAGTTTTGATGTTATGACGCCATTTGTGATGTTTTATTTAGGGTTTCTCCTGGGATGCTGTGTCTTGGAGTGATAGGTCTAGTATAGGGAGTTGAGTTACATGGAATTGGAAGTTCCATGGCTGGGCTCTCTTCCTACCCTTTAGAGCTGGATTAAACCATGCTGTATTAGTTCAGACATAGGGCATCTGGAGTCTTTCTTTTAAGATATTTTTGGGTTTGTTTGTTTGTTTGATTGGTTGGGTGGTGGTTTTTATTGGTTCATTTTCCAAGATGGGTTCTTTTTCTGCATAGCCCTGGCTATCCTAGAACTCACTTGTAGACAAGGCTGGCCTTGAACTCAGAGATTCACCTGCTTCTGTCTCTACTGGGATTATAGGTGTGCACCACCGCTGTCCAGCTAACTTGTGCGTTCTTGTAGTCTGCTTTTTGGAGAGATTAAAAAGTCTAACATGGTGTCAAAAGTCCAACAGTTATTTGTTCAGATTCTTAAGTGTACCTCTCATTTTAAAGAACCGACTGAAAAATTCAGCAATTGATTTTTTTTATTGTAGGTGTCTATAGGAGGTACTGTTGGGAAAGACAGAAGGGAGAAAGAAGAAGGTGTTTTTATCTTAACAATAAGCAAGGTCTTACTACCTCTACTGACCCTGGGAGATAACCAGTCCACTGGCCCTGATGTCTAATAGAAACATCTGAACAATGGTGCAATATGTACACTTAGATCTTTATGTCCAGGGGTTCCATTTATACTGAACATAAACAAATTTTTTCTCATCAATATTTTCTGAACAATGAAATGTGATAGTTATTTGCCTAATGCTTACATAGTGCTAGGTAGTAGAGGTGATCTTGAGATGGTCTCGAGTGTTTTGAAGGGTATGCATAGATTGTATGCAAAATCAACACTGTTTTATATAAGATTCTTGAGCATCTGCAGATGTTGGTTACCATGAGCAATCCTGGAATCCATCCCCCTCAAATACTAAAGGGGACAACAATGCATTTTTGTGGCAGAGGTTTGTGCAGAGCACCATGAGAGTTTAGAGGAGGTGTAAAGATATTTACCTCTGAGTGAGTTTGCAAACAGAGCTCCAACTGATAGTGTCTTCCTGTGATATTGCTAGGATGGTAAATACATTAATGCCCATACTATCCTGGTCTCTGGAGGCTTGTGGGTCTTGAAATGTGCCCTGTGAAAGATGCACATATGTCTTGGTCTGTTTCCTACTGCTGAGTTCTTTGTTAAGGAAGGATGTAGTGATTTATTATTTATAATTTATCAAGGCTTGACTGAGGATTCAGAAAAGCAAAGTCAGCCTCAAGTTATATAGTTCAGGCAGTAGTGGCTCACACCTTTAATCCCAGTAGCCAGAAGCTAGGAGCTGGTTGTACATACCTTTAATCCTAGGACTCAGGATTAAGAGAAAAACATGTGAGTCCAAGACCACCCAGATCTACACAAGGTTGAATCAGTCTAAAAGAGAATTATAGTTCACACCTTTAATCCCAGGGCTCCTGAGAGGTTTGTAAATAAATCAGTATCAGGATCCAGTAGAGGCATTGGTTCTCCAGACACACTGAGAGAGGCAGCAGTTTGAGGCGTGGTGAAGAGCTCATGCGTGGATCAGCCCTTTCAGCCTGAGCTAGAGGCAAGAGCTAGTGACTGACTGCTTTGCTTTCCCAATCTTCAGCTTGAACCCCAATATCAGTCTCTGGGTCATTTATTTTTCACGTTGAAAAAGGAGGTTTAATTTGGCTTCCAGACATGGAGGCACCTCCAGGTGCCAGCACCAACAAAGAGCCTTATGCTGTTTTGGTAGGGGTTGAGAAGAGGAAGAACACAAGTTAGAGCCTTTGTGAAAAGCAAGAAAGGCATTAATCTGTGCAGAAGCCTGTGTCTTCATGAGTCAAACATCTCTTAGGCCCCAGCTCCTATACTGCCGCACTGATTAAGGATCTTAAGTACAGGGATTCTATCCTGTATTTTCATATTCATAGTGTTGGAAAAGAATCACGTAGCAAGTGAGCCAGTGAATGCTTGTTGAATGAATAACAGCTATGACAAATAGTATATATTAGGATACGTAAAATATTACAACACAAAGACGAGTAGCCTCCTTTGATACTTTTATATACACAAGAGCTTCATGAACATTTCCAACAGTTACAGGAAAACAAAGACCAAGGAGGCAGTCTGCTCCTTTACATAATGGTCTTCTTGGGTGTATTTAGTTCCCCAGGGTACCTCATCCGGCCTTAGCTGGCACCTCTGCCTGAGTTCCTCTAAAACTTCTCTTGAGCATAGATTTTGCTGTTGGCAGCTGACTCCTCCCATGACACACCTCTGGCTCAAACACACGCGTGCGTGCGTGTGTCTGAGGGTGCCTAGCTGCTAGAGTAGTGTTGACTCTGAAAGCCTGACTCATGTCCTCCCAGCTCTGCTGCTTCCTGAAGTACCTGAGGGATTGCTTGTCCTCAGGAGCTTCGCTTTCTCCCAACAGTGGAGCAAACCTTTGTTATCTGTCGCTGAGCCAGCTTTGAAGCACTGAGAGGAACAGGAGAATTGGAAGTCCTAGCTACACTTAGGCCTGGAGTGAGGCTGGGTGCAGACGTGGATATTCTTTGTAACTCTAGACAAACACAGAAACGGCACAGGAAGGAATGCTAGGACGTGAATACGTAATCATCGACTTAAGAGCAACCGTTCTGACTACAAGGTAAAAGCTTTCCCGGCTTAGGTCCTGCCTTCCTTCCCAGTCTTCCTGTGAGGCTGTCTTTTCTCTGACTCTACATGCTCTCTGCTCTGGCTACCTGCTTGCAAAACCATGAGCACCACGCAACAGTTACATTCCTTGATCTTCTGAGGCACTAATGCTGCTCCCAGAACCGTCCTCCCTGCCTTTTTCTGTTTGCCTGGTTCCTTGTTATTTTGCAGGATGAAGTTATGTGTATTTCATCTCTGAAACCTTTTCTGATTTCCTTAAATTTCCTTATGACTAAGACGTGTGATCAGCCGGGCAGTGGTGGCACACACCTTTAATCCCAGCATTTAGGAGGCAGAGGCAGGTGGATCTCTGTGAGTTCAGGCCAGCCTGGTCTACAGAGTGAGTTCCAGGACAGGGTCCAAAGATACACAGAGAAACCCTGTCTCAAAAAACAAACAAAACAAAACAAAACAAAAATAACAATGACAAAAGATATATGACCAACGGAGCGATGCCTTATTAAGGAGGGGGAAGAGAAATCAATACAGAAGAAAGAGGGAGGATAGTAATAACAGTAAATGGGCTTGAAAAAGTCCTAAGGAATTATGCTGTTAACTGTTTACCTAAAATGCCTAGAAATCATGTAAGTTAGTGTATATATATATATATTTATGTAAAATGGCATACACACGGTTTAGTAAAATTTTCTCATCTCAGCTGACAGTGTTCCTCCATGAGCCATAGACTATGTGTGTTGGTTTGAATAGGTATGGACCCCATAGACTCCTGTGTTTATGTGCCTGGCCCTTAGGGGGTGGCACTATTAGGAGATGTGGCCTTGTTGGAGGAAGTGTGTCACTGTGAGGATGGGCTTTGAGGTCTCATATGCTCAAGCTGTGCCCAGTGTGACATGTAGTCTCCTTCTGCCTGCAGATCAAAATGTAGAACCCTTAGCTTCTTCTCTAACACCATATCTGCCTATGTGTTGCCCTGCTTCCCGCCATGATCATAATGGACTAAACCTCTGAAACTGTCAGCCAGCCCCAGTTAAATGTTTTCCTTTATAAGAGTTGGTAGGGTCAGCTTGGTAGTGGTGATGCATGTCTTTAATCCCATCACTCAGGAGGCAGAGGCACAGAAAACTCTGAGCTCGAGAACAGCCTGGTCTACAGAGTGAGTTCCAGGACAGCCAGGCATATACATAGAAACCCTATGCCATAAAAAAAGACAAAAAAAGGAAAGGAAAGAAAATAAGAGGACATGGTCATGGTATCTCTTCACAGCAATAGAAACCGTAAGACACTGGCTAACAAAAATCTCTCTTTTGAGTTGTTGGTCTGGGATGTCCAAGAGACTCCTCAAATATTGCAGGTCATCTTTATTGCCCTTAATATCCCTCCTACCCCCCCCCCACGGGTGTAAAGTAAGCTACTAATACTGAAGGCACCACACATTTCAGATCTAGGGCCCAGAGTACCAGAACTGGAACTGATCTAAATGCCTCCTCCTAGAGTTTTCATGGTATCAGAGACCTCATACAAGCTTCCAAAGGAAGGAAGCAACCAACGGTCCTACCTAGATATAGTGCCCAAAAGCCACAATGACAGCATGCCATGATAATTCAAGGGTGTAACCAACAACTCTCTAACTGGGTCTTAAGACCCACTCAACAAGAGTGAAATCATGCCTGGCCCTGGAAGCCTAACCAGCTACCCAAGGCTTCTCAGGTTTGTGTCTTCAAGGAGGATTTATAACCTCTGTCTAACTAAAGCAGCATAATCCCTATCTGCATTCTAAATATTTATCCTTATACCCACAGAGAAGTACAGTTCTCACTCCCGAATCAGGGGAACTTCTCGTAACACTTAGAGCACACATGGTAAGGATATTCAATAAAGACAACAGTACTTAGCCTCGAATCTCTGAGAGAAAGTCCACGTCTAACCACGTTCAAGGCTGAAGACTACAGAAATCCTGACCAGAAGTGAGTCCTGGGAATTAGTGATGTTGAGGGGGAAAACATGATGAATCTTGACTGACATCTAGCCTTGAGATAGTGTTTCTATTTTTCCAAGACAGAGGGTTGTAAAGATTGTATCTTGACGACAAATTAGGGGAGGTACTAAAGAAACAGCAAGACTAGTACTAGGAAATCCACGACACTCATTTTGAGTCTGAATAGGAAAACAGAATTCAGTAGGAAAGTTGTAATTACCTTCCAGAGATGTGTTGCAAGAATAGCCAACCCTCTGCATCTTCAGGTTTATTTGTCTGTAATGAAGAAACAGAGATTGCTTTGCCTGACATTTCCAGAAAGACATAGTGTAATAAGTATTTGCAAGATAGGAGGGGTGGCACACACTTTTAATCCCAGTACTCAGGAGGTACAAGTGGGCAAATATCTGTGAGTTCAACGTCAGCCTTATCTACACAGTGAGACCCTATCTTAAAAAACAGACTATACCTCCTTGATAATTTGCATTTTACGAATTATAATGCATTTGCGTTTCATTTAACATCACAGGTAATCCGAAGATGATTTAAAGTACACGAAAGGATGTCTTCAGGTTGTATGTAATTAACTAAAGTAGTGCTGTTTTATATAAAGGATTTTAGTCTATGAGGAATTTGGCATCCAGAGGCTCCTGGAATTGATCTCCCCTGGGGACCATCACATGTGTTGTGAACTCACAGTTTCTATTCTTATTTTCCCTATTTTCTTATCTCTTCATAATTTTATCATATGTATATGTAGCTTTGCATACATGTTTATGAGTCATATTCTATTGTGTAGGAGGACATACATATGGAGATGTTGATAGTAACTTAAATTGGTAGAAGGGGAAGGGGAGGGCCCCAGCAGTTTTTATTGTGGAAGTATAAAGCCAAAGGCTATTTTTATACACATATCTCTTTTCCTCCTACTTGGGATAAGCTAGAAGCCTGTCTTTTGAATAAGTTGGGCTCCCTTTCTGTTCCCTCTTTTTGTGGTGTATATAACATAGAACACAGGCTGTTAATTAGATGCTATTTATTTCGCAAATGGAAACAATCTTGGTTTCTGTTCCTACTGCTCTAACCCTGCCTGGCCTTTCTACCAAAGCAAAATTGCTAGCCTATCCCTTATCCCTAGTGCCTGGTGTCTACGCCTGGAGGGTCCTCCTTCTCTGTCACAGCCCCCAGGGATTGCACCTAGTACAAAAGACCTCTTTTGCACCGTAATTCCTGCTCCTCCACTCTTTCCAAAACACACTAGGTTCTTCTACTGCTCCTGAGACTGGGCCCAGAATACCCTGTGCCCTCAGGCCTCTTTGCTCCTTGCTCTCTCCTGTGAGAGTAAATATGTGGAAAGAGGACTGTCACAGGCATCTGTGTCAATGGTGACGATTGTCACAGCACAGAGGAATGAGAGAAGAGCCCGAGACTGAAGACCAGAAAGGATGATGCCATTTTCTTCAGGAGAAACATTCTCCCTTACGATATAATTACTCTTGCCTTGGTGGCTCTCTCAGAGAGAGAGAATTCCAAAGATGCTGATGGAAACCAACTATTAAAAGGCAAATTAAATAACCACAGAGTTAAGGCAAGTTCAGTTCTGGTTGTCTAGAGATGATCAAACAGTCCAAAGAAGGTATGATCTTTAAGATGATATTTCTAGGTTTAGAAAGTGACCAACTGGGGCTATTCTCTTCCGGTTTCCACAACTCCTGCAGATAAAGGAACATATATTTCTGACTGTGGGCATTGCCGGTCCCATTACTACGCATAACTTGGTGCTAGGATGCTTATTGCTGTAGGATACACAATAGATCATTATCACAGGGTCCTTGCCTTAAAAGAACTTGGAACATTTAAACGGAAGTGTCGAAACAGTCTAAAGCAACCCCTGATAAGCCCAAGCAGGGCAAAAACTTTAAAAGCCGCAGAACATCTGCGGGAAGTATGATCGGTGTGGGCTGGGATGGCAAGGAACGGCTTTATTAGAGGTCCCGGGGCTGTGCCGGGTGGAAAGTGTGGGTGCATGTGGGGGTTGTGTTTCCACTGCTTACATTTCCAGGAGCACTCCAGCCGCTCCTCCTCGGTACAGGGTCCCACCCCGCCTCCCGGAGCCCTGACCTGTGAGGGCAGCGACTGGGAAACCAGGGCTCAGAACCCTGGGGTTACAGCAAACGCGAAGCGTCCACGTTAATTCAGGCACGAACCGGGGTGGTAGAAAGCATTTACCTGGTACAGTCTTCACTCTCCGGGCCCAAGTCAACCCCCGTAAGGACATGTTGACCCACTGTGTTTCCGTGCGGGACTCACTGGGACGTACACAGAAAGACGTTCTGCATTACCACCTTCTGACGGAAACGTGGGTTCTGTTCTTGGTGGAAGCTATAGCACCCCCTCGTGGAAGTACTTGCTTCAGAGCGCAAACTGTTTCCTTCGTAGCCCCCTGGAAGTTGCTTGTGGAATGTTCAGGAGAATGTTCTGTGCTTTTAGGACATGCTGTCATCAACAAAAGTCTGAGAAGTGCTTTGAGCTTGCAACTGTTGACTTGGAAATGCAGACTGATTTGTATCCTTTCATGAAGAGCTCCCTCGTTTATTTTTCAGCTGAACAATGGTTCGTTGAACGGGTGTAACACGAAGTACTTACCCAGTCTCCTGTTGATGCTGTCTCCGACAGTGTGATACACAAATAGCGCTTTAGTGAGTATCCTGCACATCTGTTAGTCTACCTCCAAGATACGCTCCTCGAGGTGGAATGTCTACGCCAAATCACGTATACTTTTGGAATTGCGGGAGACATGGGAAGACTATTTCTGTGTAGTTTTAGAACAAGTTTTAGCAATGTATGATGCTCCAGAAGCCATCATTGACTCTGTGTGTGTGTGTGTGTGTGTGTGTGTGTATGCGTGCACGTTTGTGAGTGTGTGCACATGTATGTTTAGGTGCATATGCATGGGTGTTCATATTCATGTGGCCAGAAGTTGACACCATGTGTCTGCAATTACTGCCGACTTACTTTGTGAGACAAGGGCTCTCACTGAGCGTGGAGCTCACCAATTCAGCTAGATATTAAGCACTAAGGCCCCACTAATCTCTTAGTTCAGTTACTGGGGTTACAGGAGTCTGCTTTGGTGATCCACTTTCTTATGGGACTTTAGGGGATCTTACCCAGGTTTTCCTTATTGCTACGAGCCATCTCCCCAGTCCACTAAGTGTACTTAAAAAAAAACAAACAAAGCAAGATCTTCATTTCTTTGCTGATGTGATAGATGAAATATATAAATCAATAAATCAATGCAATTTGCTGTTTTGGATTTTACAGTGTCCCTCTTATAAATCTGCTTGTGTGAACTCACCTTGTTCACGAGGCCTGGCTACCCCAGTCAAGTCTCTTTCTCCAAGGGTAATTTGGGATATTGCCAGCTGGTGATTTATGAACTTAGCTTCTAAAATTAGCCTTCAAAGTGGACTGGCAGGTCAGTGGTGGTGCACTGATTTAATTCCAGCATTCGGGAGGCAGAGGCAGGCAGATTTCTGTGAGTTAGATGCCATCCTGGTCTACAGAATTAGTTTCAGGCCAGCCAAGGCTACACAGAGAAATCTTGCCTCAACAAAACAAAACAACAGTGGATTGAATTTCAAATCTAATTCCAACACATCCACTGATGTTGTTTCTCTGTTTATTTCCAGTCTTGGGTTTACCATGAGTATGAGATACAGATGCTTCTCTCTCTTACATTTCCTGAGCTATGTTTGTTTCATTTGTTTTTCCCCCATAATTAAAAAACTGGATTCTTTGTGAATTCCCCACCATGCACCCCAATCTCACTCATTTCCCAGTCCTTCCTTATCTGCCCACTGCTCTTTTAACTTCTCCCAAAAATCAAATTAAAAAAAATCAAAAGCAAACCATCTCTCTGTGGAAGCTGCAGTATATATATATCACAGTGCGTCACACAGCATATTCTTTTGTGCAAAAGGTTTTACTTATAAGTGTTCTTTGCAGTGGGCTATCGGTCTGGTTGGAGGCATCTGGCTTCTGCTATATCATCACTGCTGGACCCTCACAGAGACTCTTCTCAGACATCCTGCTGTCGCCCTGAGTCATGGAGGTCCTGCTGCTTTGGTTCTGCAGGACCAGCCTCTTCCTGTGCTCTAGGAGCTCATAGGTGGGGTAGATGTTTGGGCGAACTGAACTAATTTTGATTAGCAAATTCCCATTCTTTTTTTTTATATTTTATTTTCCAGTTTAAATTTAGATAAGAAACGAGGTTGCTTCACAAGTCAGTTCCATGTCCCTCTCCCATTCCCTCCCCTCCTCCCATGCCCTCCCCCCACCCCCCCCGTTATCCCCTCATTCCCCCAGGGAGGGTGAGGCCCTCCATGGGGGTGTCCATAGTCTGTCATTTCATATAGGGCAGGGCCTAGACCCTTCCCTAAGAGTTCAGGGTGAGAGTGCACCTCACATTGTTCTATGGGAGTCCAAAGTCCATGTGTATACTTGGGATGGGTACTGATCTGCTGCCCAAGGCTCAATAGATTCCCTAGGCCTCCTCACTGACACCCACATTCAGGGGGTCTTGATCAGTCCCATGCCGGATTCCCAGGCTGATGCCTGGGATTCAAGAGTTAACCTTTGTCTGGTCAGCTGTTTCTGGGGGTTAAACCAGCCCAGTCTTAATCCCTTTGATCATCAGTCCTCCCTCTCTGTTACTGGCTTTCTTGAGTTCAGCTCAGTACTTAACCAAGGGAGTCTGCCTCTTCTTCGATCAGCCACTAAATGAAGTTTCTGTTTCCCAGACTCTCTGGCCATAGGAGTGTAGGCTGGCACTCCCCAGATCTATGTCTAAAATCCATATATGAGAGAGTACATGCCATGTTTCTCTTTTTGTGACTGGGTTACCTCACTCAGGATGGTTTCTTCTAGTGTCATCCATTTGCCTGCGAATCTCATGATTCCATTATTTTTTCTGCTGAATAGTACTCCATTGTGTAGATGTACCACATTTTCTCTAGAGCAAATTCCCATTCTTATTAATGACGTTGCCACAGAGGCCGAGGACTCAGCTCCTCAGCAGCTAAGTAGTACGATATGTGCCTAGCATGCTTTAAGTCCAGGGTTCCATCCCCATCATCGACATCCAAAGTCGCCATTTATAATGTAAGTGCCAAGCCTGTCACTGTCTTTTCAGTTTTTAGCGTCTCGTGTCCTAACTAAAGAAGGATTTTATGCCCAGATGAACACATCCAGATGTAGAATAGTATCCTTCTTCTCTCTATGCTTGTTTCTCTCAGTGCACCATGGGTACTTTCCAGGGTAAGCTAGAAAGGTCGGGTCTTGTTTTGATTATGCCCTTACAGACATTTGCATGGCTAACCAATGACTGATGACATAGTTCTTTATTTGATCAGCACTCTATTGGTAGAACCTAGCGTGTTTTTTGTTTTTGTTTTTTGCTTCTTTCCTCTTTTTGATAATGACCTCCCTGCATCCGGGAAGCCACAGGTTTCAGAAGAGGTGAAGGTTAAAAATAGGTGAAACTATCTGGGGGGACCCCAGCCTTGATTGCTCCCCACCCTCCCCTGGTTTCTAGGACTCTTATCAAAACAGGTCCTCAAGACCTGCTGCTTCAGAGCCTGCTGTTGGGAGCCCAGCACAAATGTGTAGATATAATGCCACTTAATGTTGTCTGTGATTGTGAGGCAAACGCTTTTCTTGCTGGAGAATTTCTGACCCTCTGAAGGCCCAGGGAGATAATTGTGAGGCTTATAATACAATGCTGCGTGGTTACTGGCTTCAAAAACAAAAAAAAGGGGGGGGGGCAAAGCCAGCTATGACTTTGTCAGCGCTACTGACACAGTTCATCAAGTAATCGCCATCGTGTATGTGCAAGCATTTCAGGTTCTGTCAGCCATGGGGATGGTTGACGAGCCAAGACACAGAGCACTGGATGTAAGGTTGATAACTTTATGTATACGATATTTAGTAAAAATGTTTCAATTTTTGTTTGTTTTAATCTATTACCTTAAAATAAATCTTATTTTATATACCACTTGACCTTCCCGGTCCCTCATATCTCTCATATTCTCCTTCCCCCTCCCCACTGACACAGAAAATTGTATGAGTTTATCATATGCAGGGTGATTAATATATATATGTATTACATATGCATATTGTGGGATGGCTAAGTTGAGCTGTTTAGCATTTGAATTACCTCACGTAGGTTTAACCACTCTGTAGTAAGTACTCTCTACCTACTCTCTTTGGATTTTAAAGATGCAATTGTTGCTTCCAACTGTCGCCACCATGTTGTACAATGGGTCATGAGGATAACCCTCCTGTTTCTTAGCATTGACAGAGAATGATTCCACAACTGTAGACTGTCAAGCAGCATTGGGTGTAGGGTTTGTAGGTTTGAAGAATCAGGCTACTTCAGATTCATCCTCGGGTCATGTCACATGCTTGCTCTGTGACTATAGAAAAGGTTTCCACATTCTCCCTGCTTCTGTCTTCTTTTCTAAAACGAATGTGGTGAAATGTAGTAAGTAGACTTAGAGTTATCAGAAAATTAAAGTACTTATTATTTTTTGATTTTATGTGCATTTGTGTATAGCTGAGTGTCTGTGTCTGTGCACCAAGGTTGCGCCAGAGCCTGTGAAGGTCAGAAGACGGTGTCAGATCCTATGGAACTAGAGTTAAAGGCGGGTGAGCCACATGTGGGTGCTGGGAACTGAGCATAGGTCCTCTGGAAGAGCAGCAAGCCCTTGTAATGACAGAGCCATCTCTCCAGTCCCAGCGAGTTTATAAAAGGATGGCAATATGTGTACCTCAATGTGATACGTGGGGCTTAGTTAGCTCTTAATTAATGCCACTTATTATTTTTATATGACAGCCCGACATAATTTTAAAATCCTTTCCCTGACATACACCTAAAGGGAAGGAAATTCACTCATCACGTCATAAAGGCACTTGGCTCTCAGATTCATCGCACCCTGTTTATAGTAGGAAAGACGCGGGAATAATATAAATAACCATCAATGGGCAAATGAATAAAAATTGGATCCACGTTTACAATGGAATATTACATAGCATTAAAACAATGAGGGGACCCTACCCCTTTCTACAATACAAATGAGTCTAGAATATCTTAAAGCACATAAAGTAAAAAACTAATATTTCTTAAAGTAATATACAAGAATACACACACACACACACACACACACACACACTGTGTGTCTCAGTGGTATGATCTGAAGAGTAAAGACAAATTTAATATGTAGAGACAGAGACTAAAACGGTGGTAGTCAGGGTCAAGGTGGGGGAGGGAAGAGGGCGACCTGAGCCAAAGGAATCAAGCA